TTCCTTTATTCCTATGCCCCTGTGGGTTCCAATGCAAAGACATTCTAGTTATGCTGTTCTCCTGTTTTCTCAGTGTGTGCCCTATCCAACGCCAGCGTCTTTTTCTCACCTCCTGATCCACTGGAGCCTGTTTAGTTCTCTCCCAAAGTTCTACATTAGTTATTCTATCATACCATTTTATTCCCTCTATTCTGCGCAGGCACTAGTTAATTAATGTCTGTAATTTATTAGTAATTGCCTTGGTTGTTCTCCATGTGTCCGCCCCATATAATAGTACTGATTTGACATTAAAATTAAAAAATTTTAGTTTAGTATTTCTTTTAATTTCTTTTGACCTCCACAAATTCCCTAGTGCTATGAAAGCCCCTCATGCCTTTTGTATTCTTATTTTAATATCTCTATCAGTTCCTCCATCTTTATCTACATTACTGCCTAAATAGGTGTACGACTCCACGTCTTGGAGTGGGGTGCCATTAAGAGAAACCACATTACTATTTGCCTGATTTATTCTCATTATCTTTGTCTTTCCTTTATGGATTTTCAGACCAAGCTGCTGTGATCTCACATTAAGTATATTTAATTTATCTTGCATCTGATTCCGTGAATGGGACAGAAGAGCAATATCATCAGCGAAGTCCAGATCATCAAGCTGTTTTGTAGGGGTCCACTGAATTCCATTCTTGGTGTTAGCAGTTACTGTTTTCATAGTCCAGTCTATAGCCAGTAAAAATAAGAGAGGCGACAAAAGACATACCTGTCGCACACCTGTTTTTATTTCAAATGCATCTGTTAGCTTTCCCTTATGAAGAACTCGACATTTCATGTCTTTATATGTTGCCTTTACTAAGTTGATAATTTTCTGTGGGATTCCATAGTGCCCCATCAATTTCCAGAGAGATTCCCTATCTATGCTGTCAAATGCTTTTTCATAGTCTATAAATCCAATGTAAAGTGGTGAGTTCAGTTCAATGCTTTGCTCTATTATAATACGTAATGTGGCTATCTGATCAGTACAGGATCTGTTTGACCGAAAACCTGCCTGCTCATCTCTTAGCATTTTATAAATAGCATCTTTTAATCTTTCCAAAATAATTCTACTAAATATTTTTCCAGGAACTGACAGCAACATAATTCCTCTATAGTTTTCACACTCCTGTAGATCACCTTTTTTGGGCAGTTTCACAAGATATCCTTCTCTCCAGTCTGCTGGTATTTCTTCGGTCTCCCAGACTTTACTGAATAATCTATGTAGCAATTCTGTTGATGTGTTTATGTTGGTCCTGATGGCTTCACTGGGATACCATCTGTGCCTGTCGCCTTTCCTTCCTTGAGAAGATTTATAGGTTTTCTAATTTCCTCTTTGGATGGTATTTCACAGTTGATATCCAGTTCCATTTCTAAAGGCTGGATATCTGGGGGAACCTCTGGGCCTGGTCTATTCAGAAGCATTTCAAAATATTCAACCCATCTGTCCATTTGATCTTTAGTGTTAGTAAGTACCTTTCCTTGACTATTTTTTATTGATCCAGTTGGCTGACTATATTTACCTACTAATTTTCTTGTGTTACTGTAAAGTTCTCTGAGGTTTCCTTTTGCGGCTGGTGTCTCTGCTTCTTGTGCTAGATCATTTAGATATTTCACTTTATCTGCCCTTATATGCCTCCTAACTTCCTTGTTGGCTTCTGTGTATTTCTCCTGAGCTCTAGCTTTAGCAGCTCTAGTTTTGCTATTGTTTAATTCTGCCTTTTTTACTTTTCCTATCTTCAATCAGTTTAATGGTTTCTGGTGTTATCCATGCTTTATGTTTCCTTTCTTTCTTGCCAAGAACTACGCAAGGTTCATTCCAGATTCCTGTGATCTGATCCCAGCAGACTTCTGTGTTGACATCTTCAGCTAACTGCTGCAACACCTGGTACTTATTAGAGACCGTAACTGAGAACTATTCCTTAATTTCTTTATCTCCGAGAAAGCCTACATTATATTGGTTTCTATGATTATAAGATGTTATATATCTTTTTATTTTCAACTTTATTTTACTTACCACCAGGAAATGGTCAGTAAATACATCGGCACCTCTGAAAGCCCTAACATCGTAAAGGGATGATCTAAACTTTTTGTAAATACATGTGTGGTCAATTTGATTAGTTGTCTTATGGTCTGGTGATTCCCATGTTGCCTTGTGTATACTTTTATGGGGGAAAATACTTCCACCAATAACATACTGGTTACCTGCACACAAATTTGTGAACAATTCTCCATTTTCATTCATTACTCTTAGACCATGTCTCCCCATAAAATTTCTTCATAACCTGTGTTGTCTGATCCTATCTTAGCATTCAAGTCACCCATCAGTATTTTTAAGTTGCCCTTTCTTTCATTATTTATAATATTTTGAAGCTGCATGTAAAATTCTTCCTTAACAGATGCATCTTTATCATTTGTTGGTGCATAACACTGTATTACCGACATGTTCACCTTCTGTTTTACTGTTCTAAAAGATGCTCTTATTATTCTGGGACTCACAGCTTCCCATTCTATTAGTGCCCTGTCTGCTTCTTTTGATAGCATCAGGGCCACTCCTTCACTGTGCGGCGAATTTTCCTCTGTGTGTCCTGAGAACAAAATAGTTTCTCCTGAATTTAGAATACTTTTCCCCGTTTTTTAATGCCCCTATAAAAAGAGTTGAACAGGGGATCATGGATTTGTACTTGTTTGATTCCCAGCCTTTAGGTGTCACTCATTTAGACCCATCGTCATCATCATCGTGTAGCTGATTCTTTGCAGAACGTCGCTCTCATCACGGTCTGCCTGAAAGAAACTCGGTCATTCACCAGCTCTCAAATCTCGTGTACTTTCACATTCAAGGAATCCCTTATATCCTGTTCCCATTTTCGTGTTGGTCGGCCCCTGCCCCTCCTTCCTGGCACCATGCCTTCTGCTATTTTTTTCCAGTCCGCTGTGGCGCTTGATGTGACCAAAGTAGTTTATATTCCGAGAAAAAATGATGTGTGTTTATATCTTTTAGAATGCCAGCATTTCCTTTCTTTTTTGTCTTAGGTATTCTGAAAATATTTGTAAGTATGTGTTATGATGTGAACAGCTAACCCTAGACGATGGACGAGTCGTGAATCTGACTTCCCTAAGCGGGCAGTCACATTTCAAACTTAAACCCGTCCGGAGGGGTATATAGTCCCTTATATTGATATATACCTCTATCTGGTAAAATATTCATTTCTAGACCCTCTAGTTGCTTTGATAAATCTTCATTTTCAAACTTAAAACTGTAGGTTGAAGATTTCTGGTGTTTAATTCAGAAATTCCTGTAAGCCGGTTTACTCCTTAGGCATGAATACAGGGAACTTCTTTCCTAGAGACGTTTAGGTTTGAGCGGGATTATCTCGCCTGATTCTTAAGTGTCAAGACGTGTATACAGTCTATGTAGAAAATTGGCGCATTCAAAGTACCAGTTCTATATTGGAAGAATTCCTAAGCTTGGGATGATATCTCCTTGGAGGCCAGGCAGTGAATCAGCAGTCCACAAAACTACCTACAAGGAAGTCACCTATGTCTAAGCCAGTACCGGGCATCAGATTGTAAACCACCAAACTGTTGTCATCATTTAATGAAATCCTCCAGTTTGTATACAGACAACATTATGGGTGTTGTACCTTCACCATCATTTATCCGGCAGCTTGTTTGTGTCTCAAGTGTTTGACTTGGTACCTGAGATCCTCTCCAGGAGCTTTGGTGTTTCTCCAGTGTTCGAGTGTCTAGTGTGGGACTATCTTGAACGTAACAACAGAGTGACTGAACATCCAGCCAGTTCAAGAAACCAGGGATTCAGATAAGTGTGGGCAATCGTGGGATTATTGCCAGGATTCACTGTTAATTGTCCACACTCATCATAATGATGATCTAGGCAGACTTTGGAACATTCATACACGTTCAGTCAGATCGAGTTTGAAGTTTTGGTCCTTCATATCAGTCTGGGTTCTTGAAGTTCTTTGCTGATTCTTATATAATGTATGTGTTGCACTTATTACAGTATTTCTAAAGTTTCACTATTGACTGGAGCAGTGGTAACAGCAGCAGCAATAATAGATACAGCAGCAACTACAACAGCAGCAGCAGTGGTAGCAGCAGTAATAAATACAGCAGCAGCAACTACAACAGCAGCAGCAATAGTTGTAGTAGTAGCAGTAGTAGTAGTAGTATTTAAACAATCAGTTAGAATATACACATTATAACAATACTTTTAATTTTGAAAATCTCGACTGTCAATCCATGATAAATAATATAAATACATTAATACAAAGTCTATATGATATTAATTGGAAATATCAATTAAAAAATATTAGTAGAAGCAATAATTTTTTTAAATATATTGTCAACATGATTTCTTTATCCGTGTCACATTTCAAAGTATGAATAAATTCCATTTTTTTTTTAACATTGTCTTGTCCGTCTTCTAATGAAACACAAAACGTTTTCCTGTGATTGTGAATTTTATTTCATAGTATTTATTTGACTGAAAATATTTTATTACACAAAGCACACTATCTTTCTCTAGCTGAATTCCATGTAACCTTGTCATGGCGGAATTAAATGTTTACATTTTTCTATCCGTCATTTTCAATCGTTGGTGTTATCGATCCAGCGGCGTATGAGCTTTCGCCCTTTGGCCCAATGCCATGTAGTGGAATTTGCATATTTTCACAAGCTGTTCTTTTCCTCCGTATAAGGTGTTCCTCTTGTCTAGTCTCGGAGGGAGTAGCATTTCTCTAGTCTCGCTGAGATTTGGGCACTGGGAGATGTCATTTTCAGTAAATGTTGTTTAAAAGTTGTGATTATTAAATCGACATCTTTAAATTTTAGAATTTTTAAAGCAAGTTTGTATAAATGCTATAAGCAGCATTTTACATGGAATTACACAACACTTGCACAATATCACAGACCCTGAAGTTGCTATCTACACGCATCTGCAATGTTCCAAGAAGATTTCACCCCGACAGTTTAGTAACCCTGATGTTACTTAAACAGTAACTGTAGGCCTCACATATAGGTTGTAAGCAACACTGTATGCAAGTGCCGTAGAATTTCTGCATGCAGCCACAGTTGATCATGTACACTCGCATGCAAGGAGTGACGTACCAGACATGCCAAAAGGTAATACACGCCATCTCCCAGCCCCAGCAGAAAGCCAGCGGGATTCCGCAGAACAGAGTCAAGCACTTGTAACAGCAGTTCTTGCAGCAGTTGAAGCACAGGTAGGACCCCGACCAGACACAGTCCAATGAGTGGGATCCGTCTGGTTCTCCCAGAACTTCATCGAAATGAACCTGCAGTGCAATTTGAAAACAAAGCGTGCGTTATACAATCAATGAGACTAGACATATTACAACAATATTTGTAATATTCAAAATATGAACTGCAAATCTATGATAAATAACGTAACTACTTTAATACAAAGGGCGAAAGCTCATGCGCCGCTGGATCAACAACAACAACAACAACAACATAATAAATAATGTAACTACTTTAATACAAAGGAAGCCGCCGTGGTCTAGCGGCTAGACGCTCGCCTGCGGATCGGAAGGTCGTGGGTTCGATTCCTGACGAGGGCTGGACTTTTTTCAAAAATGACTTGGCTCACAGGTAGACCCTGCCTTGAGTGGATACCAGGTACAGTCCTTGGAAGTAAAGGTGACCGGCGTGATGCTGACCACATCACTCACCTAGTGCCGTTTGGTCTATAAAATATAGGTTTAGCCCTATATACACAATTTATGTGTCCTTTACTTTACTTTACTTAATACAAAGTCTAAACGATAGTGTGACCTATACGTTAGCAATTAGTTTACAGGTCTTTGTTTCTCAGTTAATTCTTGTTGTTTTTAGGAAAGACGGCGCTCTTGTGTTACACGTATATTTACAAGTAGAATACAAAGAAATCACATGTTTTTTTTTTTTTACCCTGCCCCGTCTATACTGCAGGTTACCTTGTAACCGTAGTGGGCCCCAATATAACCTTACTGTTGTACGGGGTTTCTAGGATTTGTAACTGTGGCAATCTTCTTCATCTTCTGTTCGCTTGAAATACATTATTTATATCTTCAATACTGTCCCTGGAAAGATTTGTGGAAGGAAGGATAGAGGAAGACAGCGAGAGAAGATTCTTGACAGTCTTGTTGCATGGCATGGAGGTGTGTCAGCACTGATACATGTAGAAGGAGATCGCGGATTGTGAAGTCGGCAGGGCACATAATGGTGATGATGAATACTTCCTATAGTATGAACTTCACTGTGTTTTGTAATTCACACAGTGGCCAGAGGTTTTGCCTAGAAATGTTGCCTGTTGTATTCTCATCTGAGCAATGACACTTTGCACTTTGGGTCACCGGTGTTAATCGCTCAGTTTGCAGTCATAGTGGGGTTCAACTTCAGTCAGTCAGTCAGCCGATCAGTCAGTCAATCAAGAAGTGGCAGCTGTCTTTTACCACCACAATCATGGTTGTGTAGAGTGTTATTTAGAGACCATCACTACAATCACAGCCTGCTTGAAAGAAACTCGGTCCCTCGGTAGTTCTATCATCTCACGCATCGTCCTGCCCAGTCTTTCATGTCATGTGCCCATCTTTCTACTGGTCGACCCCTGCCCTTCTTACCGGGTACCTAAGATACTCTTTTTTTCCAAACCACCAGGCTTTTGATGTGCCTGGTGTTTTTTTTTTAAACTGACGTCTCGTTCAGTTGTGCGATAAACTGACTGACCGACTCTCTACCCCACCAGGACATCACACAAGCGATAAACACCCGATGACACAATGTGCCACCATGCGGGTGAGGATCACTGTGGGGGGGGGGGGGGGGGGGTCCCAGAAACCGCGTTCAGCCTTTAGGCCATATTTATGGCCAGGCTATATTGCGGCCTCTGGCAAAAGCCAGAGTAGGGCTTCAAATAACTAAAAATTCCATTCTAAAAAGGACGAGAAGTATTGACATAATTGTGTATATATGTGTGCGATAAACGTATGCTAGTTACATTTCCATGAGAGGGAAGAAGGTAGAATACTAGACTGCAAAAACGGAATACAGCTACATGCAGCCATTATGAAAACTTGAGATGATTAACTATTAGGATTATCGTTACTCTTTATTGACAGAGCCAATGCATAAGTACAGGCAGTCCTAGACAGGCTTGGGCGGGGGCGGAGGTGGGGGGGGGGGGAGAAGACGGTTCAGCTGGTACACTTTTGCGAGGCTCCTGGAGCTCAAAGAGGGCCTATAAGTTAAAAAAATTGAAGGACCCTTTTCCACGCCTTTAGACGTATATGGCATATAGGGCTAGACCTATATTTTATAGACAAATTGGCACAAGATGGGTGATGTGGTCAGCATCATACCGAGGGCTCATAAAGGGGAACATATTTACAAAACCAAATTGTAAAAAAAAAAAACAATATTGGATGTAAACTTCATAACCTATACTTTCTGAGTGTAGCAAAACCACCTTGCAACCGTCTATGACATAAACTCTATTGTTTAAAAAGTTAGGGGGGGGGGGGGGGGAGGGTGGAGAAATACACTGAGGACAGTGCAAAAAATAATGAAGTTTTGAAATGTAAATTAACACTGGTAGCAAGTTTCTGAATAATCGGAGTTACATTTTGATCGTCAAGTGGACAGAGGTCTTGTTCCAGCATTTAATTATAATCTAAGTGGCCCTGATGCTAGGGGCAGCGCTGTATTTAGTGACGATAAAGTCTTATCATTACCCACACCGGACAGCAGATTACTGTTGCAAATTTAGGGTGCTCCAATTTATCCGTTTTATATGGTTAAACGGGGAGTCTGCTACTTCTTCCTGTTAGACTGACATCTGAAGTCCGGCTCTATGAGTCGCTGGGTGACCATATGTCCAGTTTTCGTTCGCAGGGACAGTCTCATTTTTTTAATCGCCAAATGTCCCGTTTCTCAAAAGTCTAGGAATAAGCTTGAGTAGGGAAAACTTTTAATTTTGTCCTTATTAAATTTCAAAGTAAGTAAGTAAATTTTACTCCACCAGGACATCCCACAAAGCGATAAACACCCGGTGACACAAAGTACCACCATGCGGATGAGGATCACCGGTAAAGAGATACCGGAAACACGTTCAACCGTTAGGTTATATTGCGGTCCCAGACAACAGCCAGGGTGGGGCTTTACAATAATGAAAAATTGCATCCCGCAAGAGGTATGGTGAAGAATTAGAAATTTCAAAGTCTTTGATATTTTTTGTGCCTAAAATATGTTGGTGAGAATTGCTATTGTAGTATTTTTTTTTCTTTGCAGTTACCTGAATATTGTTTCGTTTATTTCGTGACAGCAATGGCTCTGGTTTTCATACATTTATCAAGTGAGCATTTAACCCTCTCAACCAAGTATAGTGTATATGCTGTATCTTTTTAAGTAATTGGTTTTTACATGTTTATATTATTTAATATAATATTAATTGGTATTATTGCGCAGTGAAACAAAACCTACGGTTTTTGAGGCTCTCAGTAATAATTTTCTAGGGCGTCTAGTCTGCATAATAATAATAAATATAATAATAAAAATAATTCCAATTCAAAAAAAAAAAAAAAGGCTTTGGCACTTGAGATCCCATTCCCCCCCCCCCCAAAAAAAAAAATTGCAGGTGAGGCGGCTAAACCACTCCCTCCCCCACGGGCCATGTTTTCTCGGTTGTGGCGTCCCTGGGTTGTAGCACACTTCCTGTATCTTATCTTCTCGTCCACATAATGTAAACATTAGTCGCAGACCGATTTATTTTGCTGAAGTGCAGTGATATTTCATATCCTCTTCTCTATAATAAATTCCACCACCATTAAATAAATAAGAAAGTACTCATGCCTCTCTCTCTCTCTCTCTCTCTCTCTCTCTCTCTCTCTCTCTCTCTCTCTCTCTCTCTCTCTCTCTCTCTCTCTGTATGTGTGTATGTGCGTGTGTGCACTTTGTTATCTCAATAAACCTCACTGCACACTGGGCATTGCCATGTGTGTGTGTATATGTGTGTGTGTGTGTGTGTGTGTGTGTGTGTGTGTGTGTGTGTGTGTGTGTGTGTGACTTCCTTGTCTCTTTTCTTCTTCTTTGCGTTCACCGGCTGCAAACTCCGGCGGAAAGTTATGGTTGTTTGTCCACTTCTATATTTTAGTCTTGTTACAGTACTTCGAGTTTTGCGGACACGTCCATTTTACAGATCATCTTATTTGTATGCAGATTGTTCCTTCGCTCTCACGCAGATGCACTCAGACTTCGAAGGAAATCCCTAATTAGTCGGCTTTTACACAATGCTTTTGGATCAATTATTCCCCCCTCCCCTAACAATGTACTCCGAAACCCACACAGTGATATCTCCTTATCGCCAAATAAATTTACGTTTGTGTAAAGACACAATGTGTAAGTTGAGTCCGACAGCGTTTGTAATTGTTTCATAGCCTTAAAAAAGAATTATAGTAATATCCTTCAAACTGTCTACACTCAGCAGTACCTGGCCAAGCCGTTGACTGTAGTTCTTATTTCTTTCTTTTGTACTAGAAGCAAAGCAGACGGGGGTTATCTTGTAATGGGGAAAAGAGAAGAGATAACTATAAAGGATAATATGGAAATTTACTCCTTGAAATCTCCGCGACTCTGAATGCCTCTGTCATTTTTAAACCAGACTAAATCAAGATCGTTGCGCTGCTGAACACCAGTCTTTTGCGTTTTCCAGCCTATCACACTTTCCTACAGTTATTGGTCTCGCATCCCTTCCCTCCCCCGTGTGGGTTGCGAGGTCCTATTGTGAAAACAATATGGGGGTGGGGGTGATGACCCACTGCCCCCCCCCCCCCCCCCCCAACAAGCGTGACGTAAAATTTGACTAATTAGGAGTTTTGAAATGGGAGTGCATCTGCTCGAAAGGCGAGAAAGGAACAGTCTGCATACAAATAAGCCATTTCTGTAACACGGATGTGCATGCAAAACTGGAGTTCTATTAAATTTCCCTATAGTTTTTTTTACGAGTTTAATACCTGTTGATGTGGTTGAAGAATTTCCCCTGTTTTTTATTATTTTTTTATTTTTTATTTCCACTTATTCTAATTTCTTAGGTCACATTAAACGTATTTCAGCTCACTGCACAAACTGCGTACCTTTGGCAATGGTCCAAAAGGATCATCAATAGATAACAGTTAATCACGACAAGTCATATTTCCATTGCGGGGACAAAATTAAACTAAAAATAATAACACTAGGGAGTCGTTTTAACCCTTGAGTACGAATCAACATCTAGTCAGGTATTTTTTTAAATAAAATTAATCCTGGCTTCTTTTTCTTCTCCTGCTTTTCTAGCTCCCAGTGGAGCATAGGCCCTCAACCAACTCACACCAAGTCGTTCAGTCTTGGCTATCGCATTCAGCTTTTCCCATGTCCTCCCCATCTTTCTAACGTCATTCTCCAGCTCCTTTCTCAGTGAATTTTTTGGCCTTTATTCCTATGCCCCCGAAAGTTTTCACAATGTGTGCTATATTCAACGCCAGGTGTTTTTTTTTTTTTTTTTCACCTCTTGGTCCACTGGAGCTTGCTTAGTTCTTTCACAAAGCTCTACATTAGTGATTCTATCATACCAATTAATTGTGTTCCAATTGATCCTGGCACCCAACCTAAAAAAAAAAAAAAAAACACAGTTTCACAATATGTCATGGGAAGTAAAGGCGGCCGACGAGATGTAAACCACATCACCCACCGAATGCCAGTTAGTCTGTACAATTAACGGTCTAACCCTCTTTGACCAATGGACAAATTGTGGGAAAATTGTCTTTTACTTACTGTACTAATAATACTGACCGAAGCATATGATAAAATACCAAATCAATATTATGTTAAAAATTGGTCCACGACTACCTACCCTGACATGGTCATTGAGTCCGTTCGGATCTCTGTTAATCATATCTGGTCCTTGATCTGTCATGGCTGGATATCCTGAAAACCAGTTTCAGAAGTCTGTGAAAGTATCTTCAGCAAATGCGATTAGGCAAAATTCGAATGGATTTTTAAGTTACAGAACAAAGTTTAACTGGCAAAAACGCTTTGCTTTCAGATGTAGCAAAACTAATGCCGTACATTGGTCTAACTTTTTATTCAATCCTTTTATTTCTGAATGTGCCTTAGAAACGCCCAGCTGTGAATAAAGTGTCTTTACATTTTTTACAATAATAATCTAATCCGTGTCGGTATTTCAAGAAACCGGTGTCATTTCTTTGCAAGTGATCTATTACATCGAATTTATTGATTCTACGATCATCCTGGTGGATCGATATATCGATTTACTGTTCGAGTCATATTTGTGTAAACAGAAATTCAGTATCTATTCACACAACCGTAAATGGGTATCTAGCAACGAGCAAACCAAGTTGACGCAGCAGAGGAATTTTAGTTTATGTTGTTTTACTAGACAACTAGTTTATAGCAAAAGCGAATCGGCGTCGCTTACTGAAGCAAAGCCTGGCATATGATATCATAACGTCTAGTTTTGAGAATAGGGGGTGGAAGCAGGCACTGCTACCTTCCGCTGGCTTGAGAATCAGTTGTACACACATGTCATTGTAAATGACTCACAGAACATGTTGGGAAAAGGGGGAGACCGGCATGCTTCGTGCAGAGTGGCAGGTAGTTGCTTCAGGGGTGCCGGGTAGTTAGCGTCCTTCGGATATTCTCTCTAGGGTTTGCCAGTGTGTTGGGAAACGAGCAGGCAGATAGAATAGCCGATTCTGCACCACTAGGTGGTGAATTGATGTATGACAAGCTAGATTTTGTGAGGATACTTTGTGTGTGTGTGTGTGTGTGTGTGTGTGTGTGTGTGTGTGTGTGTGTGTGTGTGGTGTCAAACACACAAAATATCAAATGGTAGGGTACAATTAAAACATTAAAATAGCAAAGAAAATGTAATTCTCTGTTACTATAAACACTCATATAAGTAAACAAAAGACTACTGCTGATCCGTTATGCCCAGCCCAAAACACGTCACTTATAAGTAACAACCGCGCAGCTCCCTAGCGCAGTTGGTTTATAACCTCTGAGTGGCGACCGGGTGACGAACTCGTTGTGGTCCGGTTCACGCCTGGGGGTAGGCAGAAAAGTTGCATTTCTCCCAAATTCATGGTATCAGTCATGGAATCAAAGTTAAAGGGTTGCGATACTCATAAAACAGTGCCAACAAGTTTACAGCTTTTTTTTTTCGGATACTTAAAAAAAAAAAATAAGTAACAACTTTCCGCACAAAATGTGCCTCGGTGAAAAGCAAATCAATGATCCCTAAAAAATGATTTTGACCACATCTCCCAACGAATGCCCATCGATCTATAAAAAATAGGGTGCGAACACCATATGCCCGATGAATAAATGGGGTCAAAGAGGCCAGATAATTATTTTGTCCACATGCAGAGGGCGGGGTCTTCCTTGGTTAACAGATTCATAATGAATGCTTTAGAGTACTTCCGATATAATAACCAAAAAATTAAAAAAAAAAACACGTTAATAGCAGAAGCTTTTCATTTAAAACGCATAAATGATTATTGCACTAAAAAGAAACATACAAATTATTATCTTTTTTGCTGGACATCAGAGAATTAAGTAATTAATTATCCTTCCCGTGTGGGTTCTGATGCGCCATTGTGGGGGAGGGGGGAATAGACCCCCCCCCCCCCCCACTCAACAAGAGTCGACTAATTAGGGATGTTTCCTTTGAAGTCGGTGTAGACCACCCTCCAAGCGATGCTCTATTCTGCCAATAAATAAAACACTGTTCATTTCTGCCAACGGACCTTTAACTGGCATTCTATGTGGACACTCAACATGTTCGGACAACAGCGGTCTCCGCTCTACAGTGACTACTGCTAAGGGATGGATTGATGGCATTAAGAACAGCCTTACAGAAATAAACATGCCTTAACTGTGCTCTTGACAGAGCTCATAAACGAATGCTACATTCCCCCCCCCCCCCCCCCCCCCCCATGCCCGACACTTCAATGGTGGAAGGGAACAAGGAGAAGAGAAAGAAAGCTAAGGGACGCTACTTGCAACAAAATCCGTATCGAATGAAAACAAATGGCGAATCGTCGTCTTCGGCGACAGCAGGCACTTTTCAAAGACCGTTTCTACCCTAGGATTTGCTTTTTCAGCGTGCAGTTTGGCATATAATGTTCGACAGATATAGTTGCAGACATTTTAATGAAACCGTTTAAGGTAACCTAAATGTTTTAACAAGTCTGCAATGAGACTCAGTCTGAGACGAGTGAGGTGAACGAATAATAATATTAATATTACATTACCACTTATCAAATGGTTGGTATATAATAATTTAGTATTTGATATTTGACTTACAAAAATCTTAAAATGCATTAAAGTTTTTTTTTACCTGGTTAGTTAGTATCTTGTTCTTAAACTTAGTCAGTTCTGTAATATATACTTTGATATTCAGTTTATGAAAGATTGAATAAATTGAAAATAATATATACGAAAAATCACATTTTCCAGAGAGGCATTTATTTGTTTTTTTGAACGTGATCAATATACTTCCTTCTTCTTTGACTGAAAATTACAGTTATCTCAAATTATGCAGAATTGAAAGTGTTTTTTAACATCACATCATCGTAAGAAAATAATGGCTAATACATAATGGCTACACATAAACTAAACAGGCTCTCCTCCGAACTTCTGCCCCCGCAGTATTGCGGCCTGAAATATCCGTTCGGGGCACAGTCCAATTAAAAATACGGACTTGTCGGAGTTCCCGCCGAGGAACAAATTGCGGCAAAACTAGGAGTACCTTACAATATCACGAGACGCAACATTGCAGACGATAAAAGCGACCGGTGACACTGTCGAGCGTTTTCTGCAGACGATACTAGCAGACGATAAAAGCGACCGTTGACAATTTTGAGACTTTACAGACGATGAAAGTGATATGGCGGGTAGATCACTCACTCCCACGCAGATTAGCAATACTGTTCTTCCGATTGAGGATTTAGCAGCAATAGATGTCAGACTTGTCGGCATGCGCAAAACGCGATTAAACTCACCGCCGAGCGTATTCCCCGCGTTGCTACGCGCGGCGCGTATGGGGGGCTAAACTAGGTGCCTGGGACTCACCAGCAAAGTAATTAGAGGAAGTTGCAGGAGATGCGGTAGCTGCCGCTCGTGAGTCCCAGCCATCTAGTTTAGCCCTTATCCGCGCCGCTCGGCGGTGAGGCATAGATAGTCACAGAAACAGGTCTTCAAGTAACATATCACTGAGACCCTGTTAGAGCATTTGTTTTGTTTTTCTGAGCCGATCCTAGATTTGCCGCGATTTGTTCGTCAGCAGAAAGTTCGATAATGGATAGTGTCAACGGTCGCTATTATTATCGTTTGCTACTATCGTCTGCAGTGTTGCGTGTGTCTCTTAGAATTGTCAGGTAATCAGAAACAATAAGAAACTGGTCCGCAAGTAACATATCGCTGAGACCCTGTTAGAGCATTTGTTTCGTTATTCGGAGCCGGCATATTTTTAATTGGACATTTGGATATTTCAGGCCGCAATACTGCGGGGGTAAAAGTTCGGAGGAGAGCCACTAAACATTCCTTGCACCAGTTCTTACCTGAGTTTATGGCTAAGAATAATATATGTTCACAATTAAAACAATTGTCTATTAGGCTTGTGTTCTCCGCACTCTGCTTTATGGCAGTGAAACTGGTCAACCTATTTGCACCAGGAGAACAGCTTAACAACTTTCACATGCGATGCCTAAGAAGAATACTTGGCATTAAGTGACAGGACAAAATCACAAACACTGAGGTACTGGAAAGAGCAGGTATTCTTTTCTATGCTCAGTCTACGAAGGATCAGATGGCTGGGTCGCACCTGGAGAATGGAGGATGACAGAGTCCCTAAGGACATCCTTAATGGTGAATTAAAGACAGGAAGGAGATGTCGAGGCCAACCTCTACTACGATAAAAAGATGTGTGCAAGTGGGACATGAATGATGCAGGTATTGAGGTGGACTCATTGGAACAAAATGCCATGGACCGTGTTGTGTGGAAAGGGCATATCAGAAAGGAATGAGAGTAAAAGAAGAAAAGATTGCAGAAAGGATGAGAGCTGAACCTCTGGAAAGAAGCGAATTAAACACAAATGTTGACAACAATGGTCCTGAAATCCCAGTCTATCATTGTGGAAGACTTTTCTTTACACGGGCGGGTCTTGCTAGTCACACTCGCCATCACCACGGGCTGTGTATCCCTCCTCATAGCGCAATACAACCCTATCCTCTGGAAAGACGGAAAGGTGCCAATCAATCAATATATGTTCCTGTTGTTAGTGCTTGATATATGATTAAGACTATTGCATTTCAATATTGTTTGTGCTGAACATGTGCTGTGGAATAGTATTTTTGAACTATTCATTGTGCTGATTATATATTGAGGATTAGAAAGTTGTAGTTATTTAGATCATGAAATATGCTGTCACCCGCTATGGGATGCAATTTTTCATTATTTTGAAGCCCCACCATGGCTCTTGCCAAGGGCCGCGATATAGCCCGGTCATAAATATGGCCTAATGGCTGAGCGCGCTTTCTGGGACCTTTCCACGGGTGATTCTCGTCTGCATGGAGGCACTTTGTGTCATCGGGTGTTTATTGTTTTTGTGTTGTCCTGGTGGGGGAAAAGTACAACTACTACTACTAGATCATGAAAATTTTTTTAATTAACTTATTACAACAACCAATATAACAAATTTATTCATTCATTTCTTTCAGCACAAAACGGTAAGAGAATTAGGGACAAACAAAAGTCATGTATCAGATTCACCAGAAGCTTGGACAAGGGGCCTTTGGCATTGTTTATCATCTTCAGATCAGTAGTGGCAGTGAGGTAAACATATTGAGAACAGAATGATTCATAATATGTAAACAACATTCATCATCATCATCACCAATATTCAGAGCTGTTGTTTTAATTTCTGGCAATACATATTGATACACAGTACCAGCACCTTTTTTGTTTAGATATCATTTTGTTTTTAGCACTGCTATAATAAACAATTTGAGTGAACTGTCTGCACCTTTTGTTTGTACACTTTGTGATAAGTACCGGCATTTTTTTCCAGTATGTGTGAATTGTCTTTGTCATGATTCACCATCTTAAGCAAATACCAGAATCTTAGATCAGGTCCTTATTCTTGTCCCAGTTATCTTTTTCTTCTTCTTTCATTCGCTTGAAATAGTTTATCCATATCTGCAATGTTGTTTCTAGTATGAACTTCACTGAAATGTCATTTGGCTGATCTTCCCAGGTATTCATGAGTAAGTCCAAGGAAAGTAGACTTTTCTGACTTCCCTCTGACTTTATCTCTTTGCCTTCCTCTTGCTATCATTTTATCAAACTTGCTAGCCATCCCAGAGTTCTCCAGTGAATTCCTTCTTAGAATATGTCCGAAAAAACTGTTTATGCCTGATTGTTCTAATCAATTTACAACTTGTATCTGTCTCAAGGAGGACTGCTTCATTCCCCCCCCCCCTTTTTTCATCATTCCATGGAATTCTTTGCAGTCTAAAAAATCATGCCTTTACTGCAAGTAAATATTTTTCAGCTTGTCTAATTATTGTCCATAAAAAAAGTCAGGAAATTTGAACCAGCGTCATTGCTCATACTTATTGCCACCAGTACGGACAGCTGATAAGAAACTGTCTGCTGTGTTGCCGTCTGCACGTAACTCTGTAGCTACAGCAATGTTCCCTCATTTACCCCAGAGTGTTAACTCTGGTACCAATTTCCTAGAGGCTGGGTGAACCCCGGGAACCGCCCGGTTTAAAACACCGGCTGTTGGCTGCAGCTAGTCGCAGCTGGATTTGAAAGCGAGTCTCCTATCGACTGTGCTAATGTGGCCCCTATGTACTGTTGTGTATTGATTCTGAGTGGAACTAGGACAGGCTTGTTGGCATGAGTTGTCAACGAAGCCTGGGTCAACATTCATACTGAGATCTTGCTCGGCAAGGCTTTTATCACAGAGGTATGGAGGAGGAGAGGAAACACGGGAATAACTGCGTGTGTCTCAAGTATCTGAAAGTGCACGCATAACTTAAGCAGTGTATATACTTGGGAAGGTTGAGCAGAGTTGAGTTGAGAAAGCAGTGCAAGGAGGTTGTCTTGCAGCTTAGATGCGTAGAGTTGTACACTAGTTAGGCAAGGCAGTCATTCTACATGCGAGGCAATGTCTGGTTATCAATTGTGTATCGATGAGACTCAGTGATTGAGAGTCTGGCCAGTTCACTGTAGAATTCCTCGGCATTGGCTGACTTGCAGCTATGTGCAACTTAGAATGTTGCAGAAGTTTCCAGTCATTCAAAAATAGACGTGCCTGTTTAATGTGTTAGATTAATCATTGTCCAGCTTGTTAAGAGAAATGAAGTGTGTTTATTCTTACTACTAGCCTGAAGCAGAGGGTTGGTCAGCGGCCTTAGGCACAAAAGCAGTTATAGCTCGAGAGTTAGGATTGGCAACGAGGTTGAGGCTGTATAGTGGAGCGCTGCTAGAAACTGCTGCGAGAAGTAGGAGCATAGGGTGTTAGCTATTATTGGCTGTTATGTTAACATAACATTAGAGCTTGCTTCGTAATTCATTTGTAATGTGTGTGTGTTGGTGGACATGCACATTTTGTTGAATAAATACTTGTGACGGTGAACTGCTAGTTATTTTATGTTGACTGTGTATCCCTCATAGCGTGAACAAAAACCATCCATTGGACACTTGGCACGTGTGCTAGATAGATCCACCCCAATTAGCGCGCAACAAATACAGATTCTATATAGCACTTTATACAAAAATGTCTTACTGTAATTGACAACTTCTTACTGGTGAGTGTCTTTTGCTTCTTGCTCAAAGCTATTTTTGCCATGACAATTCTTGTTTTAAGTTCTTTAAAACATCTTGCATCAAATGTTATGACTTCTCCAAAATGGCTGTCTCTATTCACTTGCTTAATAATTTGTCATTTGTGTGTATTCCACACTTTGATATTTCTTTCTTCATGATGATGACTAGTTTCTGTCTTCTTGCAATTTAACTCTAAGCCTAGTTGCTCGCTGTGAACTATTATCGCATCAGCCGGACAATAACCTGAACATATTTAAAAAAAGCAGAAGTCAGTTTAACCCTGTCACCCCAGTAACCATAAATAAAATGGGTCATGATCCTATGGAAATTCCTAAACAACAAAAAATCTGTTAACATTTGTCAATTTTTTTTTTATGCAGGTCATTAATACATTTTGTGGAGGGACTAGCTGAATGGTTAGAACACTGGACACTCATTTGGGAGACCTGGGTTTGATCCTTCACATTTCTGACTCGTCTAAAGTGATCTTTATGAGATGCATAGTTAATGCTATTACCTGAGTTCATGACGCAGCAAACATTAGGAAGGTCAGGATTTCTTTTTCTTCTTCTTCCTCTTTTTCATGTTCACTGCTGTAAATTCTGGCAGAAAGCTCTGGTTGTTTGTCCACTTCTGGACTTGAGAGTTTGGTTCCAGATATTGATTTTTACATGCAAAATTTTTTTTTCTACAGATCTAGCTTATTCATAAGCAGACTGTTGGTTCCTTGCCTCTCAGGGAGCTGTACTCTGACTTCGAAGGAATCCCCTAATTAGTTGACTCATTGGAGCCAACCAGAAGTGTCAGTTTTGTGGCTCCTCTGGTGACAGGGTTTAGATTGTTACCGTCTTCATAGAGTTGTCCTTATAAGGGGTGAAAATAGTATTCTCTGATCACCATGTTTTGGACATTAACAAACTAACCAAATAAGCAAATTTTTTTCTTCTCTGCCTTGTTTTGTAATCCACAGTTTGCACTGAAGGTTGCTGAGATGGGTAGACTTAAGAAAGATATCACGGACTCATCGACAGAAGCAAGGCTCATGTTGAAACTGTCCCATGCTCACCTTGTGCAGTGCTGTGCTTCCTTTAGTCATAGCGGAATTATGTATCTTGTCATGGAGCTCTGCCCCTGTGGTACTTTGAAGAACTTCTTGAGCATTAGAACAAGGCTTGTAAGGGAGACACAGATTCTTGTTTGGCTTGGCCAAATAGCTGATGCACTCAGAGTAAGAAGACAGTCTTATTTAATTGTAACCTTTTTTTGTGTTTTTAGTTCCAAGCAACTCAACCACATGTGACTCAGTGTTACGCATGTGAGTCAGTAATATCTTATGTGTATTGTTATGTCTTACAGTTCCTTGTCAAGTTATGTTATCACAATCGACATCTTTGCACATTGGGCATCCCCAAGCATGTTCAGTCTTCCGATGCAGCAGCAACTTCAATGTACCTCTACTTATTGTTCCCATGAGGAGTTGGTTATAGTATCTCCTGTCTTTATCTCTAAGACGGCAGAGCAGTGCTTCACCAAGCTTAACTTCTCGGTCACAAAGTCGTGTTAGCGTCAGAGATTCGCCATTATCTCCCAACCTAAACCATACGGCGTTGATGATATCAGCTCTGTCCATGCTTTTTCCCATTTGCATTGGTGCATTACTTGCCAGCTGGTCAGCTCTTTCATTACAATTTAAACCTGCGTGCCCAGTTGTGTAGATCCAGATAATGGAGGTTAACTGCAACTTCCGAATGCTTTCTAACCATTCTGAGAGGAGACTACGTGTTGCGATTTTCTGAAGCATGTTGACAGAGTCTGAAACAATTACTGCATGTGTGGCTGCTTGTTCTGCTACCCACGCGAGTGCTCTGGTAGCAGCAGCTATCTCACGGTCATGGTCCCTGTGTGTGTGTGTGTGTGTGGGGGGGGGGGGGTGTCAGAAAAGTAAATAATGTGAGGTTTCTGAAGTCAGACGTGTTGAGCAGAAAGGCTCAAATATTGCAGCCTAGCTGTGAACCACTTCACAATGTGCCTGTCATTCTTTTAAAAGGCAAATATGGTAGAAGATAAATGTATTAGTTAGCTAGAGATTCCTAATATATTTGATTTTTACTAGAAGTGTAAATTTGGTCCCTGTGTAAGTAGAGAGAGAGAGAGAGAAGGGGATAGGTAAAAGAAGAGAGAATGAATGAACTTTTCTGTCTTCACTTCCTCTTTTACTGCTTTTGATATCGGGGGAGATATAAGGTTTTGACTCTTGCTTGTCTGCCCGCATTGACCATAGAGTTTATCTGATGTTATCTTTCCATATTGTTCTTAGTCTACCTCATGCTCTGTATTCTTCTCCTGTTTTATGTATATGCCTTGTATGTTATGGCATCTTAAGGCATTCTCTCTGAGTGGGCATACCATTTGATTGGCTGTCTTTGAGAATTAATGAATGAACAAACCCATTTGATTGGTTGTCTTTGAGAATTAATGAATGAACAAACCCATTTGATTGGCTGTCTTTGAGAATTAATGAATGAACAAACCCATTTGATTAGCTGTCTTTGAGAATTAATGAATGAACAAACCTATCTGATTGCCTGTCTTTGAGAATTAATGAATGAACAAACTTTGTTTTCAAAGGGTAAAGAATTGGGCAAGCAGAACATTCTGCCCTTTTGACATTCCTCCTTACATACATTATTTCATACATACAGTTATGCATTGGCAACGTTTTGGAAGCTACATAGGCAGATGCTCAAGAAAGATCGGCCCAGCATAGTAGGAGCAATTCATAGAGATGACAGTATTCTCTTACCTACAAAGAGAAGAGGGAGGCCTTTCTTAAGAGGTTCATTCCACAGATAGACCACAATGATCACAATGTAACCAGAGGGTCTGGCAAGCTGACTACACTCAAAGGAAAGGCAAGACAGACATTTAACCAGATTGTGACTGGTACCATCAGTATTGGAACTCTGCACTACCTGCTGAAGGTGAGGATGGAGCATGCATGGGAATGCCCCGAGTGTTGTGATGTCAATTCTTGACTCAACTCAACTCAACTCAGCTATGCTAACTGAGTTAGCATAAAAATAAAATGTGTCCTCAACATTAAATTCTTAGTTACAATTGCTGGAATCTCTCCTCTGATCATACCTTGACTTCTAAACAGTAATATTACAAATTAAATTAAGTGTATGGGTTTTTATCATGGTATGGGGCATCGCAGGTTGACGTAATGCTGACCACATTACCCACCTAGTGCTGATTGGACTGTAAAAATATGGGTGCTCTTCTCATATGCTCATGAAAAGGGATCTTTACTTTTACTTTACTATATTAAGTGTAATAAATCTAGGGAAAAACACAAGTGTTTAAAACTTATCTTTTAAGAGGATATATATAATCTATGCTGTGATAATATTTACAAAAATTCTGATTATAGGTAACTGATATTTTTTATTGGCTGTAGCCAGAGAGGGAGGAAAAAAATGACAGAGAGATTAGGAGGGACACAGAGAGGAAGCAGATATGAAGGGAATTGGTGGGTGGGTACATTAAAGGGGTTAGCAGTAAGAGGGAGGGAAGGAGATAAATAGAAGGGGAATGTTACAGAAAAATAGCAAGAGAACGATAGAGGAATGGAGGGTAAGGAAGATACACCATATTTTTCTGTGTATGCTTTCCAAATGTTTTTAAGTTTAAAATTGTGGTTTGTCTTATACACAGAATATGTTTTAAATATTTATTTCCCCATTTTGGCCTTAAACAATTTTAGTTTGTTGTAAACATGGGGGTGTCTTATACACAGAAAAATATAGTATATAGAGAATGCTGAATCCAGAAGGAACAACTTAGATTCACACTTATACATAGTCTCATGTGTGCTCATAAAGAGAGTGAGATTGGGAAAAATAATGAGGAAAAGATAGACACAAATACTTACAATTTTATAAATGCTATATTCCAGTATCTTCACGCATGTCGGGTGATTCATAGAGACCTGAAAACTGATAATGTGTTCTTGAATGACAAAAAGAATGTCAAAGTTGGTGACCTTGGGATTGCCAGGTATGTTCAGTTAGTGTAGTTTAACTAACATATTTAGCATTATCCATCATGTCCTGCTCATAGGCAGACCTAGGCAATGAATAAGCAATCAGAAAGTCACATTGAGCCTCTGGGAATGTAGATGTCTTCTTCTTCTGCCTTTCTATCTCCCAATGGAGCAGAGGCCCTCAACCAACTCACGCCAAGTCATTCTATCCTTCGCTGTTACAAGGAGCTCTCCCCATGTCCTCCCCATCTTTCTAACTTCATTCTACAGTATTCTCTATGTGTTTTTTGGCCTTCCTTTATTCCTTTGCCCCTGTGGGTTCCAATGCAAAGACATTCTAGTTATGCTGTTCTCTGGTTTTCTCAATGTGTGTCCTATCCAACAGCAGCGTCTTTTCCTCACCTCTTGGTCTACTGGAGCTTGCTTAGATCTCTCCCAAAGCTCTACATTAGTTATTCTCTCATACCGTTTAATTCCCTATATTCTGCACAGGCACCAGTTTATTAATGACTGACACACAGGTGAATGTAGATGTAGAAAAGAATAAGTCATAACTCTAATCAGCCATGTACCATCTCTACAGTAAACGCTGACTGCAATGAATCTCTAGCACTGTCTGTCTCTTGTCTTGGTTGTACACTCTATCAGACTTCTATTCAACCATCTCTTGATGCTGTCCTGCCTCTTGTATCACTGTCTACAACATCAAGAAATGGACGGGACTTGTATAATGTTAGCCTTGGAGCCATCGTATGAGGGCAAGTCAATAATTAAGTCACGACTGGTTGTTTAAAAAAAAAAAAACACACAATAACTAAAGATATTAACAACTTAAAAACCGTTTATTTTTACACATACACTGTCCCTTTATTTTTCAACATAATTTCCACCAACATTGATGCACTTGTCCCGTTGTTTTATCAGACCTCCCAAATCTGCTGCATAGAACTGTGTTTTCTAAATCACATTTCAACTTCACATTCAACTTCTGTGTCATTCGCTAAATATCTCCCACTAAGGTGGGTTTTCAATGAACCAGAAAGACAGAAATCACTAGGGGCTAAGTCAGGGATGTAAGGTGGATGTTCCAGAAGTTCCCACCCTAGATGGTTAATTTCCTCCTGAGTTAACCGAGTCATATGTGGTCTGGCATTGTCACAACGGAGCAGTACTCTAGTCAGCAGGCCTGGACGTTTTCTTTGAATTGCATCATGGAGCATTGATAAAACTTTACAGTATGAATCAGCATTCACATTGTCACCTGTTTTTTTTTTAAGTTGGTTAAAAGCTCTCCTTGACAATCCCAGAACACTGTCAGCATAACCTTCCCTGCTGATGGCGTAACCTTGAATATTTGAACACATGGTGAAGAAGGATGTGTCTATTGCATTGAAGCAGGCTTTGATTCGGGCTGGTAGTGATGCACCCATGATTCATCCCTAGTAATAATCCTGTTCAGCATGTCTTCTCCTTCATCTGCATATCAACAGAGATGCTGCAAGGACAGGTCTAATTGGTTCATTCTGTGTTTGTCCGTCAGTTGTCTGGGTATCCACCTCAGGCATACTTTTTTAAATTTCAATCGATCCTGCATTATGTTGTATGCAGAATTATGTGAACACCCTATTGCAGCTGCTACAGTGTCAACTGTTACTCTCCTGTCACCTCTAATCCTCTCTTCTACCTACCACACAGATGTTGCAATCTCAACAAGGCAACCAAATTGGAATTCATCAATGATTTTAGAGCGTCCCTGAGAAAATTATTTGACACATTTAATCACCGCTTTATGAGATAAACATTTGTCAGCATAAACAGCTAGCATTTCCTTATGAATGTTCTTTGCAGGCAGCCCTTTTGCCCCCCCCCCCCCCTTTCCCCCTAAGAAAATGCACAACAGCACATTGTTTGAGGATACAATCCATAACTACAGTCACCCAGTCACCATTTTGTTTCTGTTTTGCGACTGTACATACAACACCTTGTGCTACCTAACGAACAGAGACATTGGGGATCGGGAGATTGTGGGTTTTAGTTCTTACGGAACCAGACTTTTGTTGTTGTTGCAAAAATGACCTTGGCTCCCAGGGTGACCCAGCCATGTATGAGTATATGTTAAAGTCCTGGGAAGTAAAGGCAGCTGGTGTGATACTAACCACATTACCCCCCCCCCCCCCCCCTCCCCCAATATGCTGATTGGTCTTTAAAAATATAGATCCAACTTTATATGCCCAGAGGGGTGAAAAAGTGTCCTTTTACTTGAATATAAACAGATTTCCCAGAAGTTCAGAGTAGAACCCAAAAAAAAGTTTGTGTGTGTTTTAAAGCAATGTAAATATTTGAAATGAATTTGTTTTCTCTCATTTACCCAAAGAGAACTGGACTACACAGCTCAGAAAGCAGGAACTTTTACTGGCACTTTTTGTTACATGAGTCCTGAGGTTTTGCAGAGTTCTGCTTATTCATTTGAGGTGAGCATAGCTGGGAGTTAGGAATGTTTTGTGTGATGATAACTGCTGTGTTGAAAGATCTGGTAGGGATTCAATGTTGAACGACCTCCTAGGTCACGGGTTCCTAACACAGACAGCTACTGGTATCATCAGAGTTGGAGCTCTTTGCTGGCTGCTGAAGATGGGGATGGAGCGCTTGTAGGAATGTCCCAAGTTCTATGATATGGGTTTTTTAAACTCAACTCAGCTAAATTTAGTTACTCTATTGAAATTCTGAAAATAAGTAGAACACCTAATATACTAACTATTCAAGTTAACAACGAACAACTCAAACAAGTGCAGCAATTTAAATACTTGGGGAGCATCTTCACAGATGATGGAAGAATTGATAGGGAACTTGAGGCAAGATGTCAAAAGGCGAACGCAGTAACTTACCAACTCTCCCCACTGCTAAAACACCCAAGCATCACTATGGCACTAAAACGACAACTGATAAATTGCATATTTATACCAACCCTCTGCTACCAATGCCAAACCTGGTCCCTAACAAGAGCACAGGAGAAAAAGATCACGACGTGCGAAATGAGATGCTTACGTAAGGCTGCCAATGTCACAAGGAGAGACAGAGTTCGGAACGAGAACATTAGATCAATTGTAGGAACCACACCATGCCTGCAATACATAAAGAAGCAACAAATCGAGTGGTTTGGCCACTTGATGCGAATGCAAACCGACCAACTGCCTCTACGAGCATACAACGAACAACACTACTGCCCTAGAGCAAGAGGCAGACCGAGAGTACGATGGATAGACAATATATCAGAGATCCTGATTCAACACGGACTAACAACAACACATGCAACACACCTGGCCCAGGATAGAAAACTGCGACTCCCCACTATGCTGTGAGGCAATTGTGGACAAGACAAGACAAGATTGAAATGCCTATTTTTAATATATCATATGAGGTCGTAAGTCACTTAGCCTCTGTTAAATAGAGTCGTGGCTTGGAAAAGATTGGGAGCCGCTGTCCTAGGTAGTGCACCAGTTCCAGAGCTGATACAGGTCAAGACCTGTCCACACATCTCCAGGGTCAGCCTATAAACAGGTTCCTAACTGAAGGCCTGGTCAACTTAAATATGATCAACAGTTTCTTCAGAAGCTGGAGCGCATTTGTTTGAGATGCAAGTAATCAGCAGTTTACAAACAGATAATCCACTTCTGTGAACTACATGTGCACACAACACTGAAGATCTGGAACAAAACCATAGTCCAGTCTGAAATGAACAACAAGACCATAGTCCAGTCTGAAATAAACAACAAGACCATAGTCCAGTCTGAAATGAACAACAAGACCATAGTCCAGTCTGAAATGAACAACAAGACCATAGTCCAGTCTGAAATGAACAACAAGACCATAGTCCAGTCTGAAATGAACAACAAGACCATAGTCCAGTCTGAAATGAACAACAAAACCATAGTCCAGTCTGAAATGAACAACAAGACCATAGTCCAGTCTGAAATGAACAACAAGACTCTCCACACAAGTTCACATCTGACAAATACAGAAGAAAAAGACATTTCTTATCTGAGAAAAACTGGTGTGTTGAAGGGCATGAATTTACTGAACACAGGGCAGAAATCGATGTCCATCTAAATGTAACCATAAATTCTGGCTTACAAATCTACCTGGCATACTCATGGCCCTAAAAAATGTGAGTTAGGCCTATACCTGTGGTATAGATCGACCCCAAATGCCAGATTTGTTCACCAAACTTGTTTTAGTGGGATATATTTGTGGCAGCCTACTGAAAGTATGGTAAGCGGTGTACATTGATTGTTAGGAGTGCTCTCCCATTTATTTTCAACTATGGTGAAACTATGGGGGTGACTGCAGTCAAGCTAATACAATGAATTCCAGAGAAATTTGACTAAAAAGCTCAACAAAATGGGAAAGAAGAAAACGTGCACAAAACAACACAACGTAACGTTTCGGCCGGGCAGCCTTTTTCAAACATAAGTGAAATATACAAACGAGGAATGGAGAGTATGTAGATCTCTAAGGGGTGACGTGAGCGACGTTTAACAAAATGTGATGCGGAATAAATCAAAATAAAATAAAATAAACGATGGCTAAAAAATATAGTCATACTGGGCATACCCGGCCGAAACGTTACGTTGCGTTGTTTTGTGCACGTTTTCCTCTTTCCCATTTTGTTGAGCTTTTTAGTCAAATTTCTCTGGAATTAATTATTTTCGACTAGTTGGTAAAGGTTTGCAAATTTTATACTGCCATATAAGCCAAAGAAGAAGAATTTGGAGGACATGGAAATGTGGTCTGTGATTCGCAAGCTGCAGAAACTAACAATGACTGCCTACAAATGACAAATGAAATTAGAAAACTAAATACAACAATAAGAAAGATGCAGTCAGTGTTCTTTGGTCATGTGGCGAGAAGAGAGGCATTAGAGAATGTTGTGACGACTGGAAAGATCAGTGGTAGAAGAGGCAGAGGCAGACCAGTAGAGACAGTGCTTGATGGCGTGAAGCTGTGACATGATGGAATATTATCAGTGGAATAGCTTCACAATATGAAAAAGACTTGTTGAGAGACGGGCAGATTTACTATGACTTGGAAGGAGGCTGCAAACTAGTTGACTCTTACGACAAGCTTGATTTGATTTGATTCAAGAACCGACATTACAGCACTCGGGGCATTCCCATATGCACTCCGTCTCCATCTTCAGCAGCCAGCGAAGAGTTCCGATACCAATGGTGCCAGTAGTATTCTGATTAAACGTCCATCTTGCCTTTCCTCTGAGCCTCGAGCATCTGCCAGAACCTCTCGTCACTCCCTGCTGCATCAATCTCACCAGACTGTGGTGATCCATCTGCTCCTCCAAACTGTACACGCTCTCCCACAAGGCACTAACCACGTCTGCTTTATCATGTATCAGTATTCCATCAAGTTGTGCAGAACCAGCCAGTCTGTCCGCTTGTTCATTTCCCAACACACCGATGTACGCTGGTGAAAAAATCCAGACAATACTCCTCACTCGTGTCCTCCGCAGCGAAGCATGCCACTCTGCAGGAAGCATACCTGTTCTGATCTTCCTCAGCATGCTTTCTGAATCAGTTACAATCACGATGTGTGTGTGTGTCGTGTTCTCTTGCCAGCGGAAAGCTGCAGTGACTGCCTCCACCTCCATTCTTAAGCTGGATGTTGTGGTATCATAGGCTAAGCTCTCCTGCACCAAACGTAGACCATTAACTTTTGCTAAGAAGCCCCAACCACTTCTTTTGCCTCTTCACACTGAACCGTCTGTGTAAATGATCAAATCCTCTGAGCGAGCATTATCTTGAATTAATTGCTGAATTTCCACCTCTGTGGCACCTGCTGGCCAGTCTCTGCATTCCCAGCTCAGCGTGATTATGACTCTACACAAGTCTGACTGTTCAGCGGCACTTTGACCCACTCTTTTCCTCGCCTAATGTTCTCAAGGATGCAAACCTGTCTGATTGTGTCTTCTACCTGAGCCATCCATGACCTCCCTCTTATCAGCCGCTGACCCTTAACTGCACCCAGAGCTTCATGCAGAGGGTGGTCTGTGTCTGCAGCTACCCTCAGATATAACTTTGCCTGCAGCACCTTGTGCCTACCTGCAACCGTCGGCAAACCAAGGATGTTTCTCATACACACCACTGGGGTGTCTCTAGTGCAACCCAGAATGACCCGCATAGCCGTGTTCTAAATGCGCTCTAGTTTGTCCATCTGACTCTTTGAGACGGTAAGCATTCCCAGGCCATAATCAACCAATGTCAGGATCAGGTGCTGATATAGTGTGAAAAGCATTCTCTGCTCTGTGTCAATTTTAGGCATAGTCTTAAGTGCACTAAGTCCTTTTTGGCATCTCGTCACAACACTCTCCACATGGTCCTTAAATGACAGGCTCCTGTCAAATGTAATTCCCAGATACTTCAGTTTGCTCTCTCTGTTGACGTTCCTACCAACTATCGTGAGATTTGGGACATTAGCTTTAACGATTCTGTTGTCCAGAGAACACCACAAAACAGACGCCTTTTCCAGGTGGAGGACAGTTCTCATTTCTGTACACCACTCAGTCACTTTGTCTACTGTCGCTTGTAGCTCCCAGGCTGTTTGTTCCCTCTCCTTCCCCTGCCTATATGCAAGTATATCATCCGAAAAGTCAGTATCCTTCATACTCCTGGTGCTTCTAGGCTTGCAATCTTGCTCGTATTCTTACGACATACTTTAGGGCAAGCAGTGGATCTATTCTTAGAAAAGGTGAAAACTAACCACCAAAGAAGTTATAGTTGGGGTACAGATAAGGTGAAAACTAACCTCCAAAGAAGTTATAGCTGGGGAACAAACACTGTGAAAACTATCTGATGGCAGTGAGGCTAAAAGAAAAAGAAAATAAACAGGTACAAACATAATCGACACAGCCCTCAAGAAAGTATACTGATGGAGAAATTAAACGTATAAAGCAAAATTTCTAGCCAGGTTATGATTGGATAATGGCTTACCATCCCGGTGTAACCTGCAGTCCTGTACTGGTGAGAATGAAAATAGTTGAATGTTTCTTGTGTTCGGTGGGAGCCGCTGTAGTGTAGCAGCTAGACGGATCAGTAGATCATGGGTTGAGGTCCTGACGGTGCCTGACTTGTTTTTTTTTTATTTTTTTTTTTTTTTCAAATGATCTTGGCTTTCAGGTCAACCTAGCCCAAAATAAGTACCAGGTACAGTCCTGGGAAGTAAAGGTGGCCGACATAATGCTGACCACATCCCCCAAGGAGTGCAGATATGTCTATAAAATATAAGACTAGCCCTATATGCCCAGTACACCTGAAGACATGAATAAGGATCCTTTTTTTACTTTTACTTGTGTTCATTGAGTTCAGTTATTGCAGTAGATGCTTGGAATATTTAATCGATACATGTGCTTATGATTCTATGTGCATTATCTTTGATGTTCCAGACGGACATTTGGGGTTTAGGTTGCTGCATCCATGAGGTCATGACTCTGCGTCAAACATTTGCAGCACAGAGCATGATGGATGTCATGAGCAACATCATGGAAGCTAGGGTAATTCTTGTAGCCTATTTTTTTTTCCATTTCCTTCCCCCTTCTTTCTTTTATATGTAAGCTTTCCTTTCTTCATCTCCGTTTACCCTTTAAAGGTCAGTTGACACACTGTGTTGTTGCTCACAGCTAGGTTGCAGTATTTGCACCTTTCAGCTCAACCTATTTCATATGTATGAGAGTGTTTGTGTGAAAACGTGTGTGTGTATGTATATGTGTGTGGGTGTGTATGTATGTATGTCTGACTATCTGTCTGTCTGGTTCTTTGTCTGTCTGTCTGTGCATCTGTCTGTCTGTGTGTGTGTGGTGTGTGTGTGTGTCTGTCTGTGTGGTGTGTGTGTGTGCGTGTGGGCAGCCTGCCTGCATGAGTGTGTGCGTGCATGTATGTATGTATGTATGTATGTATGTAACTGGGTCTGTGAGTATGTGTGTATAAGTGAATTGGTGTGTGTGTGTGCAGTTGTGTGTTCATGCGCGTGAGTGTGCGCAAGCGTTTTACCACCCATGCTTTTGGGTTTATTCTTGATATTCATAATATGCATATTGTTATATAACATAACATGTTTTCATGATAAAATATAGCTGCCGTGTGAAAGGTGGGTGTTTAGAAGGCCCAAAGGTAAGATGGGCCTGCGTGTCCAATTTGATACCCTTTAAAGCAAGCTCCTAATTAGTCACTTTTGATAACACGCTGGTTCAGGACGCAATTGGTCTACCACCCTCCCCCCCCAATAAAATGGGATAGCTTCTCTTAGAAACTAGAGACATTTTATCTTATGTGATTGTATTTACATATCTTGGACAAAGAAGATGAGAAATATTGACATCTTAAAAGATCTGAACATCAAGGAAGATTGGCTAATAAACAGCATCCTTTCTCGAAAGCTGAAATATTTTGGTCATATCAAGCGCCACGACGGATTGGAAAAAATTATAGCAGAAGGCATGGTACCAGGAAGGAGGGGCAGGGGCCGATCGACACAAAGATGGGCACAGGATATAAGTGACTCCTTGAGTGTGAAAGTTCATGAGGCGGGGGAACTGGCAAGAGACTGAGTTTCTTACAGGCAGACTGTGATGAAAGCGACGTTCTGCAAAGGACCTGCTACATGATGATGATGATTGTATTTACTCAAAAGCTGACTAGTTTTCTATCTCTCTGCATGCATGTATGTGGCTATGCATGTGTGTGTAAGTGAGGTGGGGTTGGCATGTGTATATGGGTGTGTGTATGCATGCACGAGTTTCTGCATGCATTTTACAACCCTTGCTTTTGTGTTTTTTCTTGATATTCATAATATCTATATAATTATATGAACATAACATGCTTTATGGATAAAATACAATTGCTTTGTGAAAGATGGGTGATTAGAAGGGCCGATTGTGCCTAATTTGTGACCCTTTGAAAATAAAGGTCGTTTGTTCCTTCTGTAGGGGGTGTCTCTGTGGTCAAGCCGTTGGCTTCACGCTGTGAAGGTCAGTGGTTCGTTTCACAGCTGCACCCTTTATTTCAAGACTGCAGTTTTGACAGAGATCTCTGGGGATCGTCGCTGGAGCTACATAGTTTGTGCTTTGTGCAGCGATCTTGGTAGGCAGTTATCCGTTCTGCAGAGAGAGACCAATCCTATGGAATCAAACCCAGTGCAGTGAAGTCGAACGTCGTGTGATGGGGGTGGAGGGGGAAGGGGGGGTGGTGGTCTGTATGCAGACTATTGGTTTCTTACCTCTCAGGCAGATGTAGTCTGAGTTTGAAAAAAAACACCACCCAATTAGTCTGCTAAATTGCAAAGGATAGAATAAAAAAGATGAATAGACTGTGAGCCCTATGTGACATGTCATGGCACAACAGGATGATTGTCACAGGTGTGCACTTCTTGAAAAAGGCTGCCATGTCTAAAACATTTGACAACACATAGAATTCAACATATTTATTATTGCTTTTTCTCCATAGGAATAATATACTTTTATTCATTTTTATTAATACAAGTTGACTTCGAATGAAAACCTTAAAAGTGTGATAGAAATTAGAAGAGTAAGCTGCCGTGGCACCCACTTTGCAGACACTTTGTGGTAGTGTACTAGCTCATCAAGGACAGTGTGGTGTGCTGAACCTTGACTTATGTCAGTATGTGCATTAATGTCACCCACAGTCAGTCAGCAGTTTTCCTGCATGAGGCCTTCAATGGCTGCAATTGACTCTAGGGTCACTACTTGAGTCTGTCACACAAGTCGTGTTGTTTTGAACCTTCCTACTCCACTCATAAACATGAACACATAAACATGTACACATAAACATGAACACGTAAACATGAACTTAAACATGAACACATAAACAGGAACACCTAAACATGAACACATGAACATGTGCATGTAAACATGAACACATAAACATAAACACGTAAACATGAACACATAAACATGAACACATACAATACAAGAGAAAAGTAACAGACTACCCAGCACAGCAGAAATGGTGGGACTGAGAATAAATACAAGGAAAACTAAAATCATGACAAACAGTCCAAACCAACGAACCAGTGACCATAAATAACCAAACACTTGAAAATGTAGAACATTCCACATATTTTGGCAGTGTGGTATCCATACTGGGAGGGACAGAAAAAGACATACAGTCACGCTTGAACAAAGCTAGAGCCGCTTTTAGAAGGATGAGGCAACATCTGAAAATCTAACAGTTACTGTAGAGGAATAAAACTCTGACTCTACAAGAGCATCATTTTACCAATTCTTCTTTATGGAGCAGAATGCTGGAGAATGACCAAAAAAAGGATTCGCACAAACTATCAGTCTTCTCCCACACATGTCTATGTAGAATTATTAAAATTTTCTGGCCAGATACTATCTAAAACGCTAAACTACTTCAAGTCACGAACCAAGAAATTCTAGACAGTATGATAACAAAGTGAAGATAGAAATGGCTTGGCAATGTCATGAGAATGAATCATGATACACCTGCCAAAACACCTGGGTACCAGAGGGAAAGAGAAAGAAGGGGCACCAAAAACAACATGGAGACGAACGATGGAAAGTGAACTGAGTGCTGCATCTCTGACATGGAAAACAGCACTGAAGATTGCACAGGACAGGAAGACATGGAAAGTCCTCAGTGAAGCCTCATGTGCCACTAGGCATACAGAGACATGAGACTCCACTCATACACTTGTTGAACTGACAGGCATGCATCTTCATACTGGACCTTCATTTGGCAAAAACTTCTGTAGATTTCACCTTTTCACTGATTTAAAAAATAAAATTGAATGTTGCTTCCTCCTCTTTGGTGCATGTCAAAAGGGAAGCAGCCATCTTTAAACTGTCATTATGACATACATGTGTTTAATTGCTTCATGATGTCATGTGCTTCATACTCTTGACATCATTAACAACAATACTGACAGGTTACAAGACAAGGCATATTTATTTTAATTTCTATCACACTTTTTAAATTTTTTTTTTAAGTCCCTCATATTTATTTGCATGTGACATATTTCTTATATGTTGTCTGAATGTTATTTATGATTTCAAAAGTGAAACATTTTTACCCCACTGAACTAACTTCTATGAAACTGTATTGAAAGGAAAAGTTAACAGTGTATGAGTAATATTAATACAGCAGTACCTGTGAGAAGATAACATCCAGATATTGACAGACAGCTACGTGTTAGAATGTGCTACCAGACCAATAGACAGAAAAGGTTGGAGATCCATTGCATAAACAGCACCTGGTTGATTTATCTTTGATTTATTATTTAATTGATATATTTGGCTGCTGTGAAAGTAATATTCTTGTGGTGTTGTCACCTTTCTGTCTTTCCAGAGTTAGTTAGTCGACAGATCATCCTCATTGCACATCGAACCATTTAGTCCATAAGTTCTTGGATCCCCTCCTTAGTAAATCCTGCAGCTTGTAGCAGCTCACATCAGTTCTGTGTTAGCTTCTTGTTCTTCTTTGGCTTTCTGCAGAGTTCTCTGGTCTGGCCACACTCTTTTTACATGTTGTTCTTGCAGTCTGGTCATTGTTGCAGAATTAACAGTCATCACTTGGTTCTCGTAGAGCGTTCAGTATATCGGCCTCGTCCATGGCTCACCCACCCTCCACAGTAGCTTTACCTGCAAGGCGATCAGCCTGCTTGTTTCCAAAAGATAGTGTTTCATTGTGCTATAGGTAGGCATATGAATCATAGTCGGTAGCAATGGTGAGTGTAACTAGCAAGACCAGCTGACATTAAGAAGACATATCTTCCTTAATAAAAAGAGGAGCAGCTGGCTGAATGATTAAGAACATAAAGCTATAATGCGGGAGACCTGTGTTTGAGTCCGTTGTAAAGTTAGGGATTTGTTTCTGCTAAGGGCAAAAATAAAATTGTAAACTGCACAGTCCGTGGCGACAGCACTAGCCATGTGGCGCTAAATCCTTAGGCTCAAAGATCCCTCACCTACACTGCAAAAGTGGTAAGTATAGGCAGTAATGGCAATTCCTCCCCCTTACCCCCCCCCCCCCCCCCAATAAATGCCTAAGGTTTCAGGACCATTTTGCCATATTTCATGATGATCATTGCCATCACACATCTTTGGCATGTCTTGTAATTGTTTTATTGTCATTATTACACCTCCCCATTCACCTCCAACTGCTGTTATCTTCTGCAACTGAAGGAGTTAATGTTTATTATTGCTGCACCTTTGTAACATTTAAATGTGTCCTTCTGGTAGGTTCCACCAATGCCTGATGTTTACAGCCAGAGGTTGCAAGGTTTAGTTCTACAAATGTTAGAGAAGGAACCCAAGAACCGTCCGGATGGATTGGAAATTCTTCTTGCTGTTAGTGTAAGGTCATTGCTTAATAGTTAATGTAAGTTTGTTTTTTTTCAATGGAGGATGATCGAAATTTGTCTGCACCTCTAAAAACTTGAAAAGCATGGGGTGTATAATCTAAATTTTTTGTTGAACAAAATATTATTTTTTGCATTGTGGTCTAGTGATACTCATGTTGCTTTGTGATCTTCTCTGTGGAACACATAAATATGCACATAAACTGGTGAGTAGTTCTTTATGTTTTTTCATAATCCAAAGTCCATGATTCCCTCTGATTTATTCATCTTCCTTGCTGTCCAATCCTGTCTTAGTACATCACAGCACTCGGGGCATTCCCATAAACACTCCGTCCCTATCTTCGGCAGCCAGTGAAAAGTTCCGATACTATTGGTGCCATATCTCTGTGTGGAATCGAACCCAAGAGCTTCAGGCTGGCAGGCAACTTTAGCTCTCTCTCTTCTAACATTTCAGGACCATTTCTAAAGTCTCCTAGGGAAAAGTAGGTAATCCAGCTTTCACCTTTTGGGCCAAACCTCTGCTAGTAGAATGAATTGCTGTCTCTCTTGCTTGGCTGAATTATTATACCTCCATTTTGTTTAGACTTGTTCACAGTTGGTTGAATTATGCAACCAAAGTTAATATAGGGTGGTGTAGTCAGTCATTCAGAAGCTAAAATATTTTGGTCATATCAAGCGCCACGACGGATTGAAAAAAATTATAGCAGAAGGCATGGTACCAGGAAGGAGGAGAAGGGGGCTGACCAACACGAAGATAGGCACAGGATATAAGTGACTCCTTGAGTATGAAAGTGCATGAGGCGGGAGAGCTGGCAAGAGACAGAGTTTCTTTCAGGCAGACCGTGATGAGAGCGATGTTCTGCAAAGGACCTGCTACATGATAATGATGATGATGATGTCAGTCACTTCTAAACAAGAAAGAATGAATTATTGGACATGTCTGAATTATATCAACAGACAAATAACAAAATGGTTTGGCCATCTAGTGAAAATACAGCCAGACCAAACTGCATATGAGACTTTTTACAGCAGAACATCTGAGGGAAGAGCAAAAAAAGAGATAGATAAATGGTTAGCTGAAACCTGCAAAAAAGATTTTTTAAAAACGTCACTCAAACTACCTGAGAAGCGCAAGACGAACACAGAAAACCACGTCACTGGGCTAGCTACAGCCTGGTATCAATGAGATGGCAAAAGAAGACAACTTCAGTAGGTCTTCTCTTTTTGTTAATTTATTTGAGTCACCTCTGCTAGAGTGCCCGGCTGGTTACAGGATTCTTCTTCCTTATCCCCGTGTAGGTTTTTGTGCGCCATTTTGGGGAAAACAAGAATAGACCCACTGCCTCCCCAACAAGCATGTCGTAAGAGTTGACTAATTGGGGACATCCTTCGAAGTCAAAATGCATCTGCCTGAGAGGCAAAGAACCATAAGTCTGCATACAAATATGCCAGATGTGTGAAACGGATGTGCATACAGCACTTAGGTTCTGGAACAAGACTCAAGTCCGGAGGTGGAAGAATGCCTAGAGCTTTCCACTGGAGTTTACAGCCAGTGAGGGCAAAGAAGAAAGAAGAAGATTATTCTTCAATCCCCTTATAGGCCCCAGTATCATGGGTGACATGCAGACAGGTATTTCTCTGAATTCAGGAATAAAGTAAAATGCTGCTTTTATGCACACATTAATTTAAAAATGTACTAATTGGTGTCACTTTGTCTACATTTCAGTAAGGAATGTAGAAAATAACACTTTTGTTTTCACATTTAAATCAGGAATGTAGCACTGAGTGCCACTTCATTTGTTAACAGTTAGAGGTCTCTGTAGGAAAGTAGTCAAGTCATTTGCCTCACGCTCTGAGGGTCAGGATTCATTTCGCAGATGTGTCGTTCATTTCGTGAGTGGTGATTTTATGGATATCCCTGAGGGTCATTGCTGGAGCTATGGATTGTGTGCTTTGTGCAACTCTCTTGTCAATCAGCTAGCCATTCTGTGGTGAAAAAACCGAGCCATATGGGATAACACCAATGCAGTCATCCTCTCGACTTTAACAATAAATTAAGGAATGCAGTAAAAGTCACTTTTTTAAAATCATAATAAATTCAGACATGCAATGAATATCATTTCTGTTTTCACTGTGAAATCTGGATTGCAGTGATAAATATCACTTTGTTTATTCACAGTAAAGTCATAAATGTAGTTGTCATGGACTAAGTCCTAGGCATATGATGTTATGTGTAGGGTTGTTTTGAAAGGTGCGTGTATGTGCACCCATGTATATTTTGGTATCGGTGTTGAACGGGACAAAGAAGATGTATTGAGAGAGGAAAACAAAAGTGACTGTTTTAGTTTAGGACCAACGGCTCAATTTTAGTTTAATTTTAGTTTAATATTTATTCAACATTAAAGAATTCAGGTCTTCAAGAGTATCTTATTAATTCATTATCTAATTATCATTTAAGGTTTGAGTTTGGTTTTACTGGTGATTGGTTTGACAGTTTCTGTCAGGGGCTGCCCAAAAAGGTTCCTGATAGTTGTAAATATCACTTTTGTGGTTACAGCAATTTATTGAACACACTACATATCATTTATGCACTCACTTCACATTTGTGAATGCAGTAAATACCATTTATATATTCACAATGATGTCATAATATAGTTCATGCCATTTCTTTCACAGAAAATTCAAGGGTTTCCATTTGAATCAGGACCATTCGTACCACTGGAAAATATTAAGTTAAACCAGAAGATGTTGATGAAAGCCGTGCAGACGTTTGAGCTGAAATCTTCAAGGAATCAAAACATCATTTCTCACAGGGATAAATCTACATTCCAGCACTTTGAAGATGTTGATGAGATAAAAGAAGATAGTTATACCGATTCACTTGTTTTATCCGAAGAATCAAACTCAACAAATAATACTCAACTTCCATTGCATATTGAACGTACTAGCAGAAATCATAATCCGTCATCTGATTCTGAAAGAAAAACAACTTCAAAAAGTCGAAATATGAAACAAGAAGGACAAAATAATATTTGTAAAACTGAAAAGATTTCAGAAAGCCATAAATTACCACGTGATGTTCAAGTCCAGCAGTACGAAGTGTTTGATAAACTTGTATCATCATCGCAGTTGTGTTCAAATAAAAGTGTTGATGGTTCATCGTCACTGTCATCAATCAGTGACAATACAACAGTTAGCACAGATGAAACACTACAAACATTCTCACACACAAGTAAGTTTTGGGTACAATGTCTTTGTACAATTTGTTACAAAGATTTTTAGTGATAAGAGTTTCACACAAATTTTCATCCATTAATGCTTTATGATGATTTTCATTAATGAGTGTTTTACACAGATTTTCATTAATCTGTGTTTTGCACAGTTTTTCATTGGTGTTTGTTTTCACACATATTAACAGTGAAGTGCTTTACACAGCTTTTTATATTGTTTACACAGATTTTTAGGGATATGTATTTGACACAGATTTTTAGGCATATGTATTTGACACAAATTTCAGTGAGGGGGGGGGGGGGGGGGGGGGGGGGGGGTTTATAAAGATTTTCACTGATGTGTGTTTAAAAAATATTTTAAATATGTATTTTACACAGAAGTATATTTTTTTTATTAAGTCATTAACCCTCTCACACGGGGAACACTTATTTTAAAAAATTGGTCATAATCACATAAGAATTATTTTTTTTTAAAAAAACTTTAAAAAAAGTTTTACACAGGTCACTCATAAATTTGTTTTAAATGTATGAATGAACATTTTTGAATTTGTTTTTAAAGAGAAATTTTCAAAGGGAGTAATAAATAAACTCAAACAAAATAGATTTAAGTAAAATATTCGTCTTCTTCTGTGTTCATCCGAAGATGTAATTGTGTTGTACCCATTTACAGCATGCCTGTGATATTTGCACCTTTCGGCTAACACATCTGACTTCTGCAGGCGTTTGTTGATTGTTGACTAGGTTAGCCTTCCTGGTAGCTTCTTAAAAGATTAATATACTAATATTTGGAGCACAACTAAAAGAGATGAAGCCTTATTGTGAAAACAGAGTCTTATGACGAATCTTTGGACCAGTCAAAGATGCAAACTGCAGTGAATGGAGAGTGAGAAGTAACAACAAAATTCATAATCTGTTTAAATCACCACTGATCACTGGCATCATGAGAGCTAATAGACTGAGATGGTTGGGGCTTATTGAAAGAATGTCAGATGACAGAGAAGTAAACACTCTATACACCAGGGAGATGAATGGTCTTAGACCACAAGGCAGACCAAGAAGACGATGGAGAGATAATATCCAGATGGACCTGCAAACACTTGGTGTCACCAACTGGACAGAGAGGGCCAACCAGAGAGATGAATGGAGGCGGGTGATATCTGCAGCAATGAACCTCAAGGGCTCGGAATGCTGCAGAAGAAGATGTATTATGAATAATAAACCCCTGCTAGGACAAATATTTTGTTAATGTTAACTAAGTGTTCTTTTTACCATTTTTAGTCCCAGGGGGTTTGGCATCAGAGACCCAAGGGGTAGTACAGGGCAACGTAAAATCAGTGCATCTTGTGTTAATTGGGCTTCTATGAACATATGATGCATTCTTCGCTATTGAAAGAGTTAAGCTAGTTTGTGTTAATGAGGTTTTACTGTATACCTCTTTTAGTTACTGATTTAATCTTGTCACAATTTCTTAAATACATTCCTCTTTTATCACAATAATATTTTGTAAGTTTTTTGCTGCATTTTAAAAAACATGTTGAAAAAACTGTAAAAACATTAATTTGTGATAATAGGGCTGTTTATTTAAGAAATGTTGGCAAGATTAAGTCAGTAAAAGAGGTGAACATTAAAAGCTAATTAATACAAGCTTTCCTTGTTGTTTAAAATTGTGATCAGATAATGATAAGCATGACATGTGACATATTTAAAAGTTGCTGCGAGTCTTCATTCCTGAGCATCTCAGTCTTATATAATTCAAAATAGAAAAGACTTTATCCTCTGAATGTATAGTTTTAAATATATTTTTGTATCAGTTGTTAATGATGAAACATTTATTTATTTATACTTTTTGTGTGTTTTTCTTCTGATGAATACTTGCCAGATGGTACAGTTGTGAGCTTTAGTGAATACATGGATTGTCTGGCCAGAGACTCTCAGCAGTGGCTAAGAATGAAGTTTGGATCGCTGGAGAAAGAAAAAGTTAGTATTGCTGGGCAGTAATAGTTTTCTGTTTTTATCTTGCATTTTGTTTTGTATACTTTAATGCTTTATCTTTTCTGTATTCATCTGCACAACCCATTATCTATAGTTTTAGTTTATAGCTGCTAATGCTCTGTCAGTTTGGGTAAAACAAAAACTAGATTAGTAGTATAGTAATACAAGAACTTTTACAGAATCAGATTCAGAATTGTGTTTCATTTTGAAAACCACGACTACAAATGTATTGTAAAACTTTTGTGGGAATTTGTTTTCTTTGGTCACTGTTCTGTGTGTATGTGTATGCAAATTTGTGTGAGTGTAAAAATTATTTTGTCCCACTGCAATGGTTGGCCCATTTCCATCCTTCCAGACGATAGTGTTATATTGCGCTATGAGGAGGCAATGGAACTCACAGCTCATAGCAATGGCGAATGTGACTAGCAAGACCCACCCGAATAAGAATGTGAATGATATACTTGCATATAGGAAGGGGGAAGAGAGGGAACAAACAGCCCGGGAACTACAAGCGACCTTTGACAAAGTGACTGAGTGGTGTACAGAAATGAGGGCTATCATCCACCCGGAAAAGGCATCTGTTTTGTGGTGTTCTCTGGACAACAGGATCGTTAAATTACTGTCCTAAGTCTCATGATAGATGGTAAAAACATCAACAGAGAGAGCAAACTGAAGTATCTGGGAATTACATTTGACAGGAGCCTGTCCTATAAGGACCATGTGGAGAGTGTTGTGACGAGATGCCAAAAAGGACTTAGTGCACTTAAGACTATGGCTGCAATTGACATAGAGCAGAGAATGCTTTTCACACTATATCAGAACCTGATCCTGACATTGGTTGATTATGGCCTGGGAATGCTTACCGTCTCAAAGAGTCAGATGGACAAACTAGAGTGCATACTGAATGCAGCCATGTGGGTCATTCTGGGTTGTACCAGAGACACCCCAGTGGTGTGTATGCAATACATCCTTGGTTTTGCCGACGGTTGCAGGTAGGCACAAGGTGCTGCAGGCGAAGTTATATCTCAGGGTAGCTGCAGGCACAGACCACCCTTTGCACAAAGCTCTGGGTGCAGTTAAGGGTCAGCGGCTGATAAGAGGGAAGTTATGGATGGCTCAGGCAGAAGACACAGTCAGACAGGTTTGCATCCTTAAGAACATTAGGTAAGGAGAAGAGTGGTTCAAAGTGCCAACTGAACAGTCAGACTTGTGTAGGGTCATAATCACACTGAGCCGGGAATGAAGAGACTGGCCAGGAGATGCCACAAAGGGTTCAGTGTGAAGAGGCAAAAGAAGTGCTGGGGTTTCTTAGCAAAAATTAACGGATAATGGTCACTATTTGGTGCAGGAGAGCCTAGCTTATGATACCACAACATCCAGCTTAACAAGGTGTAGGCAGTCACTACATTTTTCCGCTGGCAAGAGAAAACAACACACACATTGTGATTGTAACTCACTCAGAAAGAATGTTGAGGAAGATCAGGACAGGCATGCTTCGTGCAGAGTGGCATGCCTCGCTGCGGAGGACACGGGTGAGGAGTATTTTCTGGACTTTTTCACCTGGTCACGCCGGTGTGTTGGGAAATGAACAGGCGGACAGACTGGCTGGCTCTGCACAGCTTGATAGAATACTGATGCATGATAAGGCAGACGTAGTTAGTGCCTTGTGGGAGAGCGTGTACAGTTTGGAAGAGCAGATGGATCACCACAGTCTGGTGAGATTGATGCAGTGGGGGGTGATGAGAGGTTCTGGCAGATGCTCAAGGCTCAGAGGAAAGGCAAGACGGACGTTTAATCAGAATGCTACTGGCACCATTAGTATCTGAACTCTTTGCTGGCTGCTGAAGATGGGGACAGAGCGCTTATGGGAATGCCCCGAGTGCTGTGATGTTTGTTCTTGAATCAAATCAAATCAACCCGCTTAAGAAAAGACTTCCATGATAAATTCCATTGGATTTCAGGACCATTGTTGACAAAATTGTTAAATCTGTTTCTTCTCAGATGCTCAGCTCTTATCCTTTCTGCAATCATTTCTTCTTTGATTCTCATTCCCTTCCTGATGTGCCCCTTCGACACAATACGCTCCATGGCATTTTGTTCCCACTTCAATACCAGTATCATTCATGTCCCGCTTGCACACATCTTTAAATCGTAGTAGAGGTTGACCTCAACATCTTCTACCCATCTTTAATTCACCATAGAGGATATCCTTAGAGACTCTGTCTTCCTCCATTCTCCAGGTGTGATCCAGCTACCTGAGCCTTTGTAGACTGAGCATGGAAAAGACTGTTGTAGTACCTGCTCTTTCCATTACCTCAGTGTTTGTGATTTTGTCCTGCCACTTAATGCCAAGTATTCTTCTTAGGCATCGCATGTGAAATCTACTTAGCCATCTCTCCTGGTGCAAATAAGTTGACCAAGTTTCACTGCCATAAAGCAGAGTGCTGAAAACACAAGCCTGATAGACAAGAGTTTATGTTTTAATTGTGAGCTTTCTGTTTTCCTGAGCTTTTTTTTTTTTCTTTTTCTTTATCTGCTCATTGTTGTTGCTGTCTTACCTATCCTAGTGTTGATTTCTTGGTCCAGTGATTGTTATTCACTGTGGATCCCAGATAGGTAAAATGGTCAACTGTCTCTGGCTCTCCACGTTAATGTAAACTGAAGGTCTATCATTAACACCTTGCACCATAACCTTTGTCTTTTTTTTTTATTGCTAGTCCAAATTCACAGCATGCATTCATACTGCAATATTCTTAACCTATTTCAAGAGTATTTTTGAATTTATGATCACTAATTATTGTCATTTAGGATAATAAAAAGCAGCTAGAGCAATTACATAAGAACAGCAGGCTAAAAGTCAAGAGGCTGACCAAGAAAGATCAGAATAGAAGGAGTAAAATTGGCAACTACGGAAATGCAATATGACATCAACATAAGCTGCACAACTAGCAAAAGACAAGAAACTAAATTTAACACCTCATTGTGACGCTTTACCGGCGTAAACAGTAGGACAAAAAATGAAGAAGAATTGTCATTTAAAGAGATAATTAGTTACATATACTTTACAGCACTTTGCAGACCAACCCCAGCATTTGTTTTTGCTGTTGAGTGAATTTACTAGACAATTTTATTTTTCTGAGCTGTTCATTGCTCACATTATTGTCAAAATTAACCAGATCACTGGTAGCTGACTTTGCTGGAATTTCAGGATTGTGAAACCATGTTGACACTCTAATAAGAGTGATAAAGAACAAATAAAAAAAGGAGAATTGCCCAATCTCTGTATGGTGCAGAAGCAATGGATAATCAATTAAATTGAGTGTCTGAAGATGTAGATTTACAGAAGAATGGGTTGTATTTCATGAAAACAAAAATAGTCAAATACAGAGATCTTCAAGAGACTGAGATGAAAAGTGATTTGTTGAAAGAAATAAGACCAGTGATATATTTAAGCCAAATTGAAAGGCATACTACTCTTATAAAACCATAACTGAAGGGAAAAGCTTAAGGCAAGTGAATAAGAAGCATACATCAATACAAATGGGAGAAAAACATCAAGAAATAGATGAACAGCAGTTTGAGTGTGTACAACCGGAGCAAGAAACAGAGTGTGTTAGAGATTCATTGTAGTTAACCTTCTTGTGGAGAATACAGGTGATTGATTTGTTGATAATGGTATCATGAGTGATTTCCCATCGTCTCGACACTGTCCTGCCACTGGATCAAGATGGACACAGGCGGACGAGTAAGGTCAATGCATTGCACAATTTGTCCTCACTTTAAACTAAGCCATTCTGCTAGTCACTTTTATCCAGTGAGAACAATTCATGGATGAAAAGCATGACTGACTTAATCTTGATGATAAAACAGTTATTTTTAATTTTTTTATTATTGTGTCCTGTTATTCTTTTCTTTCAACTGCATCATCAAAGTTTTAGCAAGATGTGTAAAGATCTTTTGTTTGCAATTTCTATTGTGTTAAGTAGATGGATCTTTATTTATTTGTTGATCCCGCCATTTTAACTTTTCAACGACTTTCTCCTTGCTCTGTGTTAAATATATTTCTTTGTTGTGACTCTCTGTTGCAGTTGTTACCAGGGTATTCTAATCAGATGATCAAACCATCTCATGTGTTGCTGTTTAATGAACTGTATGGCTGGTTTTAGTCCTAGTTTTCATCTAATTTTGCTATTTAAAATTTACCTTTTCTTTTTGCTCAGACAGCTCTTCTAAGACATCTCCGCTGTTATTCTTCGTCTTCTTATTCACGTTCACCTTCATTGTTCATCCACCTCAGGACCTTAGTCTCTTTCCAGAATCTGAGTGTTGCGTGCACATCTGTTTTACAGTTCTGACTTATTTGTATTCAGATTGTTAGTTCCTAACCTCTCAGGCAAATGCACTCCGACTTAAAAGAAAACCTCCAGTCAGTCGACTCCTACAACATGCTTGTTGGGAAGGCAGTAGAACTATCCTTGTTTTCCCCAGGGATCTCTGCTATTATCATTTTGCACACATTAGTTGTATTAATAGCCCAAGTTTGACAGTGGTAGCATGAAGGTTAATTATGTGCAAGAAAGAATCCCATTAAACTTTATTTTGTAAGTAGAAAAAAAAACATTTTTGTATTTTAAATTTTGTGTTTGTGTATTTAGCAAGAAGACCAGGTCCTGGATGATGACTGCGATAGCACTGTGACCTTGTATACTCGTGCTCAAGTGGTGAGGTACAACAACACGAAGAACCATTCGAATCGGTGAAATAAAGGTATTTCTTTTTACTTTTTTCAGTACCAGATAGTTGTTGTTTATATTTGGGAAGGCTAACGCGTACAACAAATGCCTGCAGAAGTCGACTGAAAGGCAAAACCAGGCACAACATATTTACGTCGCCCTTTTTGAAAAATAAAATCAGACTTGATGCAGATTTGAACTCACGAGCTTGACGCTGGCAGGCAAGCAATGTTGAGTTTTGCCTGCACATAAGAATGGCCTTCAAATGAAAACCTTAAAAGTGTGCTAGAAATTTCAGTAACCATGCTACTGATTGTGACCTGTCATCATTGTTGTTGAGGATGGCAGTAGTCTTAAAAGCTTGTGTTATCCTGGTGCAGTTGGCTCTGTGGCTAAATCGATGCGAACACTTCGTAATGCCTAGGTGCATTGGTTTCGACAGTGGTATCAGGGGGCCAACCGTCCAAAGAGCAATGGCAAACTACTGGACGTAAATTTACCTAGAGAAACCACACAACAGCCAGGGGCTGCTGGGTTTGGTTCTGCAACGTCCTGTAAAGGATATGCAACTAACCATATCCTGGTGCAGACATCCCAAAGACAAGCAGATGCACATATCCACTGCAGACAACCTCCATTGTAGATATGGTACAGTCTTTTTATATCAGATATGAAGAAAGATGTTAGGTAGACATTAGATACGTTATCATGTATTTATATACCTTTTGGAGGGGTTTCCGCTGTGGCAAAGTGAACAAGCAGTTTGCCTCAGGCTGTGAAGATTGTGGGTTCGCTTCACGTCGCACTGTTCAGTTCACGGGTGCAATTTTTACGGAGATCCCTGGGGAACACTGGCGGAGCTACGGAGTTCGTGCTCTGCGCGATGATGCAGGTAGCTAGCCATTCTGTAGAGAGACTCAGCCACTTCTACTTCTACTTCCAGGAACATGATCTTAGAGACTTTTGATGTGACTTATCTAACACTCAGCAAACTTCTACTTTCAGGAACATGATCTAAAAGACTTCTGCAGGGAGGGACCCATAGAGAAGCATGTACTTGGTAAAGCATCATCTGGAAAACATGCACAGCAGCAGTTTTCTTGTGCACTTTTGTTGGCACTTTTCCATCTTCTCAGACAGCAGTGATATAGTGCGAAGAGGCATGGGAATCAAAGCCTATGCAATAGTGACTGTGACTAGCAAAACCCGCCTGCATTAGGAAAAGTCTTCCACAATTGGGGCATAGGATTTTTGTTGCCACTTTTTTTGTATTTGGTGTGTTTCTTCTCAGACACTCAGCTCTCAACATTTCTGCAATCATTTTTTCCCTTTATTTTTATTCCTTTCCTGATTTTCCCCTCTCCCTTCAACATTCTGCGTGGCATTTTGTTCCAGCGAGTCAATCTCAATATCTATATCATTCATGTCCCACTTGCACACAATTTTTATCGTAGCAGAGGCCAGCCTTGACATCTTCTACCCATTTGTAACTCACCACGGAGGATGTCCTTAAAGATTCTACCATGCACCATTTTCCAAGTGTGAACAACTGAGGAAGAATTAAGGCTGTTAGTGTTCACAGAATGATGTCATCTTGACTGTTCTAACTCATACAGTAGAGCTATATTGGTCAGGAAACAAAATCCAACCTTCATTGTGGAGAATACCTCCTGCCAGGGCCAAACCTGAACCCATGTTTTAGTAGGCAACTGCACTAACCACTGTGCTATGGCTGTTCTGTTATCTGAGTGTTCGCTTCTGAAATTACCCATTTTTCTTTTCTTTCTGTAAATTCTGTTTTTTTTTAAATTTATTTTTAAATAAGTAATCAGGTACTCCTGCGTGGATTTTTATCGTAGTATGGGGCGTCGCAAGTAAGCCCAGCCTAAAATAGGTACCAGGATGGCTGGTGTAATGCTGACCAAATTACCCACCTAGTGCAAATGGTCTAACAAAAATATGTGCACTCTTCCTATATACCCGATGCGCCTAAATGCGTGACAAGGGATCTTTACTTACTTACTTTACTTAATCAGGTACTCAGGTAATCGTATTTTCAGCTTCATAGCAAATGGTTCTGTTCCTGTGCAAACCAAGCAGAATGTCCATCACTGTCCCCTTGTGGAAAAAAATGGACGCAGACTGCAGTCTTAGCATAGCCAATAGCATACACATGCATTAAATGCATAAGGTAGCTATTCGAAGTGCCAACAACACAAAAGTCTGGCACTAGAAGTGCAGTACATCACCAAAATGCAGCAGTTACAACAGATCTATGGTTGCAGACACAATTAGTTGTTTGCCTACTTCTCCTTCTTCTTTGCATTCACCGGCTGTAAACTCTGGTGGAAAGTTCTGGTTGTTCGTCCACTTCTGGACTGCAGTACTGTTCCGGAACCTGAGTGTTGCGCGTGCATCCTTTTGACAGATCTGACACATTTGTGTGCAGACTGTCTGTTCCTTGCCTCTCAGGCAGATGTACTCCGACTTTGGAGAAAGCTCCCAGTTAGTCGACTCTTACGACATGCTTTAGGGTAGGCAGTGGGTCCATTCTTGTTTTCCCTATAATAGGGCCCCGGAACCCACATGGGAGTGTTTGCCTACTGATTGTCCAGGATTCACAGTCATCTTTAAACTGGATGTATGTAGCAAGCAAGAATTCTTTTTCTAATCTTCAATGTCCGATATATTGCATAAGATGTTCTTCATTTTATCAAACGCAGTTTTTGTCTGTCTTATTCTGTTTCTAATCTCAGCAACGCATCTTCCATCTGATGTTATCCATGTGCCCAGATACTTAAATTTCTGTACTTGTCCCAAAATAACACCATTGACTTTTATTACACATTTAGGAATAATTCTTTTCTTTGATACCACCATTACTTCTGTCTTTCCATTATTCAAACTGAGGCCCGAATTTACGGGTATCAAAAGTCAAAAAAGATCCTTTTCTGATGCCTTTTAGGCATAATGGGTATATGGGAAGAGCACCCATATTTTTTCAGACCACATCGGCACTAGGTGGGTAATGTGGTCAGCATTACGTTAGCAGTCTTTACTTCCCCAGGACAGCCATCCTGGTACCCATTTTAGGCTGGGTCGACCTGTGACGCCCCATACCATGATAAAAATCCACGCAGGCAGCTGTGGGTTTTGTTCGCTGTACTTTGGAATTACGGGTATCCATATTAAAAGTAAATTTAAGGATCCTTTACACACCCCTGGTGCATTAGGCATATGATACTAGCCTCATATTTGTATAGGCCAATGAGCCCTCCATGAGTGATGTAGTCACCATCACGCCAACTGCCTTTACTTCTTAGGACTTTACCTAGTACCTATTTGATGCTGGGTCGACCAAGTATCCAAGGTTACTTTTAATAAAAATAAATCTGAGATTTAAAATCAAGACCTTCAGGCCAGATGTGAACTATACAACTGTAGTCTATGTTAAAAACATGTTATAAATGACATTATTTATTGTAAACAAAATGTTATTGCAAATAAAGACAAATTATAATTTGTAATGAAACCTTGTCAGCGTCTGTGGCTAAGTGTTGCAAGCGCCTTTTGTAATGCTGGGGTGCCAGGTTCGATCTCAGCTGCGGGCCTCGCGTTGGTTTTGACAGTGGTATCAAGAAGCCAACCATCCAGACAGCAATGACAAACCGCTGGACGTAAAAGTTAGGATCCATTTTAGTTTGTCAGTCTTTCCTCTTGAGCCTAAGGCGGAGGACATAGCTCTCCATGTCTGGCGGCTCGTTGCCACATGTTTTAGGTCTTGGATGTTCATTAAGCCCATGGTTGAGCCTTCCCTGAGGGTCATAGATCTCCATGTCTGGAGGTTCGTTGCCACCTATTGTAGATCTTGGATGTTCATTAGGCCCATGGTTGAGCCTTCCCTGAGGGTCATAGCTCTCCATGTCTGGCAGCTCGTTGCCACATGTTTTAGGTCTTGGATGTTCATTAAGCCCATGGTTGAGCCTTCCCTGAGGGTCATAGCTCTCCATGTCTGGCAGCTCGTTGCCACATGTTTTAGGTCTTGGATGTTCATTAAGCCCATGGTTGAGCCTTCCCTGAGGGTCATAGCTCTCCATGTCTGGCAGCTCGTTGCCACATGTTTTAGGTCTTGGATGTTCATTAGGCCCATGATTGAGCCTTCCCTGAGGGTCATAGATCTCCATGTCTGGCGGCTCGTTGCCACATGTTTTAGGTCTTGGATGTTCATTAGGCCCATGGTTGAGCCTTCCCTGAGGGTCATAGATCTCCATGTCTGGAGGTTCGTTGCCACCTATTGTAGATCTTGGATGTTCATTAGGCCCATGGTTGAGCCTTCCCTGAGGGTCATAGATCTCCATGTCTGGAGGTTTGTTGCCACCTATTGTAGATTTTGGATGTTCATTAGGCCCATGGTTGAGCCTTCCCTGAGGGTCATAGATCTCCATGTCTGGAGGTTCGTTGCCACCTATTGTAGATCTTGGATGTTCATTAGGCCCATGGTTGAGCCTTCCTGAGGGTCATAGCTCTCCATGTCTGGAGGTTCGTTGCCACCTGTTGTAGCTCTTGGATGTTCATTAGGCCCATGGTTGAGCCTTCCCTGAGGGTCATAGCTCTCCATGTCTGGCGGCTAGTTGCCACCTGTTTTAGGTCTTGGATGTTCATTAGGCTCATGGTTGAGCCTTCCCTGATGATGGTTCTACACAGGGTCTCTCTTATCCTGCCCATTTTCTTTTGCCCTCTGGTTTCCACTTGAGGATTTGATGGGGAAGTCTTGTCTTATCCATTCCAAGTACATGGCTGATCTAGTTCCAGCAGCGCTTTCTTATAATTTATATATTTTCACGCTTAATCTCCAGTCTAATTTTTTGTATTGGATCTGAAATCTGTCCAGCGGAGGTTTAGTTTTATTCTAAGACATCTGTTATCAAAACTGTCTAATTTGTTTCATCTAGAGCTACTGTTCAGTGTTAAACTCAGTCTCTTACATCATTCTTCATATTCCATTTGTATTACTACTCTTTTTATCG